GGGGGGGGCGCCTACTACTACTACTACTACTACTACTACTACTACTACTACGACTACTACGACTACTACTACTACTACTACTACTACTACTACGACTACTACTACTACTACTACTACTACTACTACTACTAGCACCACCTCTACTTCTACTTCTACAATCTACTATCACTACCCATTACTGGGCCACTATGCACCACCACCACTACCACGACGACTGCTACTACGGAAGCCTAGCTTTTTGGAAGGCTTCGGTTTGGCTGTTAGGGTGGCCGCGGCTTGGTCCTTCCACTTGCCGAAGCATCGGGGACCTTGGACCTTCTTTCCCATCAATGGTCCGATGTTTGAAGATTTCTGCGGAGCATGGCCCGAGCAAGCGCTACATGGCTGCTGTCTCAGGCTGGTATCTGGCTTGCAGTTCTGCTGGCCGGATCTTCTGATTCCGAAGTCTCTGCTGACTTTCTGGTCCCTTGGTTTTTAACTGGGCGAGGGTTCGGCGGGCTGCAGTGGTCACCAGCACAGAGCCGCTGCGGCTGGCCCCTTTTGGCAACAAGACCATGAAAGCACCCCCTCCCAGGCAACACCGAGACCACTTCAGATCAATGTTCCCTACGATTGCCTTCACCAACAAGAGAAATACTGGAGTCATGCCAAGAAGCCGCTTGGCTGATCAGCGCAACGTGGATAGCCTTCTGGTGCACCGCGGTATGTTTCACGGCTTGCATAGAGGGCTCTGTTAGAGACAGGGCCTGGTGCTGTGAACACCACCAGCTTGGATGTCCGACTACGACTCCCAAGTCCACCGTGGTTCCACAGGTGGGGCTGCTGCCTGATTGGGGCCCATGAGACGTGAAGACTCAACAATCGCACATAGACAGCAACCTTTCGTGATTTGAGTGCAAGCAGGCGTCGAATTTTGCCGGGATTTCGTCAAGACCCCAATCAGACGATCAAGACTGCTATGCAGACGTGTTGTACTGGAAGCTTGAATCGAATAAGTTATAGGAGCACAGAGTGCCAGCCGATCGGTGACATGACATCGTGTGCTGTGATGGTACCCGTTCTCCAGCGAGCTTTTCTGATTGTCGCAACACGCAATGAGGCAAAGTGCCTGGACTCTGCGCGGCTCGGCTGAGCTGCCAGCAACCACACATTCGCAATGAATGGCGTGTCAAGTCCCGCAAGGCAAGCAGAACTGGTGTTGCGAAAATCACGGTGGCTTTAGCCGCAAAATCAGTTGCACCAGTACGACCAAACATGTGGTCTCCTTCATATCTTGCAGCAGAGTGGCTTACCAAGGCATTGGCTGCAGGGCGTCCTTGCACAGCGACGCCTATGACTGTGAGATTAGCCCGGGCAGAGGGAGTCTCACTTGCAGGATCAAGTTCGGGACCCCAGGGCTGCATTGAAGGAATTCCGATACATTCCGATTCTGGCTTGAGCCAAGGACGTCTGCATGGTCTTATCGGAACCTTGGCTTGAAACTAAATTCTGCAGAGTTGCAGCACACCTACTAGTGGGCAGCCGTTAGAATTCGTCAAGGAGACAGCTGTGGTGTTGCATGCACTACGCCCGCGGATGCCCATCGCAGTACGAGGCCGGGATCGGAGCATCACTAGAGCCGAGACCTCTCATCTGTCCTTCACGTTCCAGGGAGCTGTCCGCACGGAATGATTCGGAGTGCCGAGCCAAAAAGAAAGCAACATGCTTCATCAAGGATGGTGCGCAGCATGCAATGCCACGACCCTTCAGCCCCAAAATCCAGCTCTTTTGTTTGCAGCTTCCAACTACAAGAAGCCTCCACGAAGCGTTCAAGCTGTCAAGTATCGAAGCCTAGCGGCACGATGCTGAACACACGGCTGCGACGACTTACAGGGGGCCGTAGTATAGGCTCGACCTGCATGCAATACGACTGTAGCTGGTCCAACCAAGACCAACCGCAGTCATAACAGCTCAAGTGCTCGGCCAGACGGAACTGGGCTAACTTGAACCGGAACCAAACTGTCCAAACTGCTGTTAGCATTTTTGTAGTTGTTTCTGAAGGTTGGCCATTCCAGCAAGCCGCTTTACGAGACTTGGCAGACGTGCCATTTGCAACGTATATGTATGCTGTAGGTATGCATGTTTACTGTGCTTCACGCTGATTCACAGACAGATGTAAACAGATTGTGCATGTGTGTGTGTGTGTGTACGCATGGGCATATCTACCTGTTGGCGTATCTATCCACCTCCCCACCTATCTATTTGTATGTCCGTCTATGTGTCTATCCTTCTGTTCTTCTGCACGGCTTCTTGTCCATATCCATCTATCTCTCTACCTACCTATCTATGTCCATGTAACAATGTATGTAAGTATACCCGAAAGCTTCTGGTGAAGTTCCGTGTTGTTTTTACAGCGAGATAGCTGAATCGGGCATCGCAACGAAGGACTGCACTACGGGCTATTCTGATAGTTGGCTAGCCGAACAGAAGGCGTGGTGCTGCAACTTGCCTACACTTGTTCTGCATTCTGCTGCGGGGCTCCCGTGTGAAGCGCTTGCAGCAACAATGAGCTTGCAGTGAAAGTGAGGTTATCATGCTGCGGTGGCATGCCCGGACAGACCTGGGGCACGCTACAATTGTGATGCAGGCTATGAGAACTGGCTTCACGGCTGGTCTCAGGTGGGAATGCAGTGTCAGGGGATATCGGGGTTGCCCTGGGCTACGGAGGCATTTTTGGAGTTTAGATGTCGAGTCGCATGCGAACGCAGGCAAAGAAGGTGTGGTGCTGCTTCCATCACGATCGTGGCTGCGACGATTCGGACAGTACCAAGAACCTTGAATGCAGCAAGTATGCTAAGCATGCGTCAGTCAAAGAGTGCGCAATGCAAAGGGCATTGCATCGCTTGGGGGTGATGAGGTATGACTGCAACACTGGCTATGATAACTGGGAGGTCGGCTGGTCAGGCAGCAAAAAAGATTGGTGCTGCCAGAACGAGCAAAAAGCTTGCTCGAAGCCTGAAGAGGAAACCAGCGAGCAGCTGGGATGATGTGGTTGATTTAGGCGGCTGTCGACTGCGCAGTGCGTTAAGCACTTGTGAAGCTACTGTTGGTGAACACAGAAATGAAGTGTAATTAACTATTCAGTACGACCAAAATTTCAAAATTGCGTATGATAGATTATGCGCACAAAAAGACATCACACTAATTCGTTAAAGGGAAGAGGCCTCCCATGGGCAACTCCGCCGAAAGCGGACAGGACCCATGGAGAGGATTGTGTCACCCCCTGGCCGTCAAGCCAAAAAGGCCCGGCCATGTAAACGAGAACTTAAAATAGGGGACCCTTATATAGTACCCTAAATAGTAGGATCCATATTATAAGGACCCCCAAAAAGGTACCCCCTATTTTCGGAAATTGCAACCATCGCTGGAGATCGCAATGCGACGAAGGATGTTTAATTCGCTCTGTGAGCATGTGGATCTACAGGGTTATCTCTTGGATCCACTGTGTCTCCTACGCCCCACGTCTGCCACATTGGCCATGAACAGTGGGTTGCCATGCCGTTGTTTGGCCAGACGAGTACTGCAAAAGTGTTGCAGATGTACCTTAATGTGCTGTATAGCTAGATAGATGCATAGACAGATAGCTGGATAGAGAGAACATACATATATATATATATGTATACACCTGTGTGTGTAGGTTTATATATATATATATATACATATATGTATATACATACATACATATTCCTTATGTACATACATACATACATACATACATACATACATACATACATACATATATATATATATACACATACATACCTTGGTGTTTAGAGGTGTGTGTGTGTATACATACATATATATATATATATATGTAGATACACATATGTATACATGGATGCCCTCCCCTGAAGCTTGGCTCACCGAACCCAAAGAAGAGAAAGTGCCCGAGGTTTCAGAGCCCGTGGTTGCGGAAGTAGCTGCTCATGCTCTGGCCCGGGCTGCAGCTGAGAAGGCCTTTCTTTGTTTACCTTGCGGGGCATGTCTGTAGCGCTGGTTTTTGCCCGAACCTCGAAAGCGCGAGAGAGAGGGGGAGAGGGAGATAATCCGTTCATCTGCTGTTCTTGTTGCGTGGCTAAAACCTTCAGCTTGCTTCTTGCACGTTGCGTCGCGGAAGCTTTGGCTGTGAGAGGCGCTTCAAGAAGGAGTGTCTGTCGAGGAGGCGAGAGGTCTTGCTGGCCTGCGCAGCAGCATGCAGTTTCCGAGGCCAACAATGTGTGTGTCCGCTGCCATTAGGGCTTCTCAGATTTAACAGAGTGATCACAACAGCCGTCTCACACCCGCACCGTTACAAGCAAGTTCAACCCGGTAGGCCGTAGACCAGTTTAACTTCTCCTGCAACCACGCAGCAGGACTCAGGGACTCTGACGTACACATGCAAGTCAAAGTCTCAGTACATGCAGGGTCATGACCCGCTTTCCCACAGTCAACCTCAAGCATGGACTCTCTCCCAGTTGCCAAAAAAAGACCGTCTGTCCACACCAACATAGATCGGAATAGCTGAAGCTTTGTGTTTTCGACGTCTGGTTGCTGCAGGTCCTAAGCAAAACTGTTGGGAACACATGGAGCTAGTGCGGACATATGCGCTGCGCTGGGCGAGCAGCAGAATGGAGCAGGTTTGGTGATGTTATTGGCCATGTCGAATGGAAAAGATTTTCATCACAGGACGGAAGCCTGTTCCTGTCGCACGTGGACATAGTCTCCAAGTTGGCCGCCTGCGATTGCATCTCGTCTAAGCAGCCGAACGCAGACGACATTGGCTCCAACAAGTACTCAGGTGTGGCCTTGCAGCTGCCGTCCGAGCCAAAGCAGCTTGCCTTGGCCGCGCACAGCACCGGTGCTTTAACGAAGGGACTCTTGGCACGATGTGGGCCAGTCAAGCTGCCAGCAGTGGCATTTCTCTTACCGATATACGGGAGCGAGAGGTTGAGTCGCCTGTGATAGATTTCCGTTCTTCGATTTGGACCCGAAATGGAACATAGAGCGCAGCCGCAATGGTGCAGAAAAACAGTTGAAAGATAGGCTTGTTTAGCCATCCGGCTGGCTTGCTCTCGTGTTGTGAGAGCACAGTCCGTGACGTGAGTCGTGGTGAGTCTGAGGCAAAGTGGCTATAGCTTCTTTGCAGCAGTTGGGACTAAATCCACTGGCTGCTGAGGCGTCCATAAATCTTCCCCCNNCCCCCCCCCCCCCCCCCGCCCAGGTTTTCTTCACCGAGCTGCAGCCATTCCAGGCAGGCCATGCTGTGTCTGTCCTGAGGTCATCATTCCGATCTATAGAGCCGAAGTAATGGGATCCCCAGTTAAGGACCTCTGAGCAAAGTCGCCCGAAATCTAAGAAACTCCCACATCGTGAGGCAGCCGAGATCGCCAGAAGGTTTTTTGGCGACGACTTCTCCGTTGCGCCTCAGTCTGAATGTGCGGTTCACGGGACACTACCATCCCACCGTATATAAGGCTACCCTGCATTCCACGGCAGGCTGCAGGAGCCGAAATGCCATTTCAAGTTGGCAACTCCACGAAGCAAAGGTAATTCTCTTCTTTGGTGCAAGATTCAGCCGAAGCTTGACAAACTTCTGTGCCACACACAACCCAAGTCGTGTTGACAGGGAGCTTGGAAAGAAAGGTAAATTGCAGCGGCTTGTGTGCCACGGCTCGGTCCCTGTGATGTCGTTGCAGGTCATCTATTATTGTTTCCACAGCTTCGGTACGTTGCGCCGGGGTTTCGATGGCAGAAGCTCTAAATAGTTTCTCTTCGTGTGGTTTGGTTTCCAAGCAGTCATACTTACCAGACATCTTGAAGGCGATTGGGCTCTTTTCTATTTCATAGCTTCCGACAACATATTGGCTTGCTTTTATCTTCAGAGGTGGCAGCACCTGATGAAGGAGAAGATTGGCGCTTGCTGCCCGAAGGCGGCTCTGACACGTCTTCCGAATCAGTGACGGGGCATCTCCTGCTAGCGACGGGCGTGGCAAGTTGCTGGGCCTGCGATTGAGTTGTCACAGTGCCCTAAACCCTAAGACCACTGTACTCGGACTACATGCCCTGCAATCCGGGCTTTGCCGTAGCTAGGTGGGAGGCCAAAAAAGACTTCGCCTGCATTGCCCGAGTTGCAAGAGTCTAAACCCTAAACCCATCCCAGTTGCGAGAGTCTGAGAGTGTAAACCCACCCGAAACCCAAAAAGCAGGGCGAAAACGCTTGCTGCCGCCAGTCCCCCTGTCACCCACCGCGCCGCCTCTCATCGTGGCTGGCCTGCCTGTGTCCAGAGCCGCCGAAGCCGTGAAGCAGCTCCAGGAGTCGAGCAGCAAATGGGAGTTTCCGAAAACAAGGGGTACCTTATTTTGGGGTCCTTATAATAAGGATCCTACTATTTAAGGTACTATATTAGGGTCCCCTATTTTCGGAAACCCCTAAATGAAGAATGGGAGATCAGAGGTAAAGCGCGAGCGTAGGGTTTAGGGGATTTGGGTTTAGGGAAAAGGGCAGTTGTGAACGACATCATGATGATCAAGTTATTGATGGGCGAAAAGCAGGAGAGGCATAGATAGGCGACGCCGATGACTACGACGACACCGACCCATGACACTAGACGCTACAACAGGCTTCGGCCTGTGTCCTTGATCAAAGCATCCTGGTTGTAGGTACATCTGCCCCCTGCGGATATATACTGGCATAGCCTGAGGAATGCACAGTTGGTAGTCTGGCACAGTAGGCAGCATCATAACAAAGCAGCTGGCCCACGCAGAAGATCACCCTCCCTGCATACTGGGTTGACCAAGGAAAACGGCGGAAACACAAACGACCGCAACTGCAAGGACAAGATTAACCGCAGTGGCAACAGCTCAGCCCACACAAAGCGCCTGCACTGACACCAGAGCCAGAAGAGCCACTCGCTAACAAGCCTCATGATCCACAATTGCAATGTTCTGGTGTGCAGCAAAGTGAGAGTTTGCCACAGGCATTGATAACAATGCTGAAACTGCGCACTGCTCCACGACGGAATAAAATGAAAGCGACACAAGGCTCCAGGCATTGGCACGACACTGATTGCAGGGTTCAGTGAAGTGGTGTCTTCAGTACATGTATGCATTCCTATAGCATCATGTCCAGAACCACTCCTGCCAACATAGAAGGATGGAGATCATGCGCTGGGTGAACTCGCCGTGGGCTTGCATGTCTCAGGGCTCGCTAAATCTCCGATTTTGAAAGTATACCGACATTTTCAGGGTCACATGAGATCAACAGCAACCATCACCACGATGAAGTGGGCAGTGGTGGTGTTGATGGCAATGGTGGCGATGGCGGTGATGACGGCAGTGTGGCGAAAATAGTGCTGACAAGGGTTTCGAAGAATGATGAGCTTCGCAATACGTGCTGAAGAAACAGCTGTGGCAGCACCGGTTGCCGGAGCTGTCAGCTGTAGTCGCGGGGATACGTGGATAGATGTCGTGGTTATGGCCGTCCTAGCGTAGTAGGCGTCGTCGTGGTATGAGCGACAGCAGCCCCCCCATGCAAGGCCTTCACAACTGCCAATAGTGGTGCTGGTGCTGGTGCTGCTGGTGCTGGTGCTGGTGCTGGTGCTGGTGCTGGTGGCGGTGATTGGGGGGCGCTGGTCGTAGTCGTACCTGGTAGTCGGTATGACGGCAGCGGCCAGGATACGGACAGTAGCAATGGCAGCTGAGCAGTTGTTGTGATTCTTGTCACTGGTCGATGCCGCAGAAATACGAAACCAACAGCTATAGGAATGAGCCAGTGCAGGATGCTGGGCACACCTTGCTTTACGTTGGCGCAGCTGAAAGTGAGGCACACCTAGCACTCCCAAATGCGATCTTTTGGTGCAAGATTTCACATGAAGCAACGTGCGCACGCTACTCCCGCTGAAAGGTGAAAGCTGTTGAAGCAGCGAGCATTCCCAGCGCTTTCGGGCTGTGTGGGTGCCAGGCCTCTTTAGCATCGGTCACTCACACAGCACTTGCCATGCACTTTCTTGTGTCCTGTATGCATGGCAGGCCGTACAATCAGCTGCTGCCACTCTGTTTGCAGCTATGCAGATGGTACTCGTAGAACGCAGATTATCAAAGAGCCTGGTGACAAACCCGGCATCTAGCCTGAAAGTCTTTTCAGGATGTCGTGCTGCTCAGCGATTTCGTCGGCAGCCTGGCTTTCGTCACTTGTCTACTACGAAGCATACGCACCCACCAACAACATCGATGGCGACGACATAGCAATAGCCATCAATCAAAAGAGCATGCAACACATGACGAAAGAGGAACTACTGGCGCACCGCTGAGGCCAAGTGGCGCTGCAGCATGGCAGTGACATCTCCAGAAAAATACGAAGTTGAGCTGCAAATAGAGTTTAGGGTTGAGGAGTTTGGTCAGCACACTTTTTGTGTGCGGCTGAAGCATATTCTGATGAAGAGTTTGTGCTGTGAGCTTCCAGGTTCTCTTCAGCCTCTGCCCACGCTGCAGCCCGATCGTCTGAGTTTGCGGCGCTTCCTTGGACGAAGCCGTTGCAAAATAAATTTGTCCTTAAGCCTTAAGCTTGCAGAGTATAATCCAAAGGTTTCCTCCGCTCGTTTGCAGAAGAAGCATTCGTTCAGAGGAGAAGCACGATTGAAATGCGGGGCGCCTGAAAAGTGTGGATTTCTTTAGGGTCCTTCTTGTGTGGGCTGGGGGCTTGTCTTATGTAGGCGGTCAGAAGGGTTCTTAGAAGGGCTTGCTTCGGAGATTCGGAGGTTTAGAGGTGGCCGGAAGTAGCATTGTGCCGTGCAGGTCTAAGGCATCAGCCAGAGAAACGGTACCGAAATACACCCGTAGGAACACTTAAAGAGCCCTGAAATTGAAGTGCAGGCCCTGGGAAGCATGCGCCAGGCGCTGGCAGAAGCAGCGAAGGACGCCTTGGTCGTTCGGTTTTGCATCGCTCAATAGTCACGGAAGCGATGTCCTTGGCATGGTTACCATCACGATGGTTGTGGCTATGACCACGACATCAACGGGACATGTGAGCAGCAAGTAGTGGTCGCTCACCACCGTCTGAATCTGCACTTGCTCTCTTCAGCAATGACAGCAAGTTATAGAGAATTAACTTATCTATCATCTAAACCCTAAACCCCTAAACCGCTAAACCCTCGCCTGCTTGTCTAGTTGTGAGTGCTGAAACCGCTAAACCCTAAACCCCTAAACCGAGTGTGAGCGCCGAAACCCCTAAACCCCAGGCAAAAAAACCCTAAACCCCTAAACCCTAAACCCCGGATTGAAAGGAGCATAGGGAGCAGCGACCTCCTGATCGGCTCTTGGGTTGCATCACAAGACGGAGACGAAGAGTCACCTGGGGGGTTTGTGCTGAGTTGGGAGTCTCTGGAAAAGGGGCTTCATAGGGTGATATAGGCTGCTTAAGGGGCTTCATAGGGGATATAGGGTGCTTCGGGATTTGAAAGGCTGAAGTGCAGGGGGATTTCTAAGAGGCTTGCTTTGGGGGGGGTTCAATTCCGGTTCCCTTGAAGGTACAGTACCTATTCCAAAACCAGGTCCCGTCTAGTCTACATGTGGGGATTCGAGGTTAGCGGACGCGAAATCACTGCGCAGCACTCGTAAGCGTCCGCGAGCTCCCTTCATTGATTCATGTAATCTCGAGCCTCTTCTTAAAGGTGTAGATACGCTACGTTAGGGCTGCTTGCAATGAGAACACATCATCACTATCATCATCACAATGATGGGAAAGCTTTGGGACTGAAGTGGCGTCTCGATTCACCTCATTTTCCTTATGCCACAGGAAGAGCTCGGTGTTAGACTCTTAGGTCCTTGCCAATCTGGAAGATCGTCGTGCTGATTTTCTTGTGTCTTTGCTTGCTACTTGGCGCTGGCTGCAACCTCAGTCAGGGCAGTCCCGGCATCGTCACACCTCTCAGATGTACAGGGAAACTTTCTCTGACCCCCTGCGCTGCGCAATATGTGCAACACGCTGGTCTTGGCGACTTCACTGAGGCCTGGTAGGCGGTGAGAAGGCTGGTTGCCCCAGTAGAGGTGGCAGGGTGTTTGGGGTTTAGCATTCCTGGTGCAACAGGTATTTCGCGGCGCCGTGTCTTCGTGCAGAGGCATAACTGTTTATAAGCCTTTGGTTTGAGCCAGCTGTCCATTTATGTGTCAGCGTTGCTTGCAGGATGGTTGGGTCAAAACTCAGCTGTGAACCGTGCCGCTTCAGCAGCCAGAACTTGACAACCAAGATCCCTGACCGCACTGCTGTGGGGGATCCGAGGACTAGCTCGAACTGTTTGTTGCTCTCGAAGTGGGCCCGGGCAACAGGCGGCCTACGACGCGGCGGGCCTACGGATACTCCATGATACCCTTATGCTCTATTTCAGTTCTTTGATATCGCTATGACATGTCACAACATTGCCTATCCTTCAACGTGTAATGGACCCCTGGACTTGTCTAAGGCATTGGAAGCCCCCGGGGATGAGAGCGATGAGGAGCCAATGAGGCTCCCAGAACCGGCTGAAGCTCCTGAAGCTCCTTCTTGCTGCGTGCTTGATTTTCAAAGGCACAACACCGCAGCGTACCCATGGTTTCTCGAGGAGGCGCGATGCCGAAGAAGAGGAGGGAAACAAGGGAAACAGTGCAGAGCTTCTGCGAACGCTAAGGATCGTTTCCAAGGCCCTCCCAAGCCGCCCGGCAGCGTGATGATGGACACTGATGTGCTATGGGCGATGCATGCTCCAACTTCAAGCCTGCGCTACAGATGAAGGCTAGTCGTTGTGCTGGAGAAAGCGGCATTGGAGCGGAGCCGCCGTGTCCTCAAGCCTCGTGGCGCGATGCACCAGCCGTCCGTGTCCGTGTGTGTGTGTGTGTGTGTGTGTGGGTGGGTGTATGTTTGTGTTTTTGTTTGCCTGCCTGCCTGCCTGCCTGCCTGCCTGCCTGTTTGTCTGTCCGTCGGTCTGTTGCTTCTACAGTGCATACTTATAAAAACCTACCTGCCTGCCAGCCTGCCTACCTGGACATCAAGCACATGATATTTAAATGTGTACACTATGTTGCTTCATGGTCTTTATGCATGCTGCAATATATAGTGCTCCGCGAAAATGCTCCGTACCATGCCGCGAAAGGCTGCTTGCATGCTATCTGTACTGTACTTTACTAAACCGTGCTGTTCTGTACTAAACTCTAGATCACACTACACAAGAAGTGAAAATGCGCCGTAAATACACTGTATGCTTGCGTGTTCATTGGCGCTGCTAGACCGTCTGGGTGCGACGGCAGAGAGAGAGAGGGAGGCATTCTGGTGAAGAAGAAGAAGAAGAGGCATTCTGGCCGTTCTGAAGAAGATGCATTCATGGGTGGAGAACCCTGCATGCATACATGCCATTACATGCCTGCCTACATGACCTACGTAGATGCGCGATATACATACATGCATGCGTATGCATCATTTTGAGTGCGAGATGCAATATGGTATGCTTATGAAATTTACATATGTACACATACAGATCCACAGATGCTGTGCTGTATCATGTTACTGGTAAAGCAGCATGCTGCTTTAGCTTACATGGTGCTATGTGTATATACATATATGTGTGTATGTATGCATGCATGCATGTATGTATGTATGTATGTACGAATGTATGCATGCAAAATGCATGCAATGCAACGCAACGCAACGCAACGCAAAGCAATGCAATGCAATGCAATGCAATGCAATGCAATGCAATGCAATGCAATGCAATGCAATGCAATGCATGGATGTATGTATGTATGTATGCATGCATGCATGCATGTATGTGTGTGTGTGTGTGCGTGCGGGATATATTTGAGTACGTACATATATATATATATATATATACATATATATATATATATATATATATGTTTATGTTTATGCGTGTGTGTATATATATATACATATATGTAGATATACATGTCTTCATTTGCGTCTCACAACCCGAGCTTCGAGGTGAGCTGATAGGATCGCGAGCTGGGGCCTTGATAGCGCGTGAAGGTGACGACGGTGGTGGGTTATCATTTCAGAACCCGCTGACGCATTTGTCAGTCAGCATTCTGACCCAGGCGATTGCCCCACGGCCGGATCATCCATTGCAAATCACATTCGACGCACTCGTTGCGGGCTGAGTGTCAACTCCGGCTGATTTTTATCAGAGAATAGCAAGCAAGCATGAGCACCCGGCGACAGCCAGAGCATCTACCATTGCCCTAGTTCCGTGGCTCGCGATGCGGGAGCCAAACACCGTGACGGACGGATGGTGCGTTAGAGAATCCCAGAAGGAACAGCCATTTGCAATCACGGGGGTACGATGCTTTTTTCTTGCCGTAAATCGGTTTGCCTTAAGTGTGGTACTGCACTTTACCATACTCTGCCAATTTGCCATACGGCACGTGATTTATGGATTTTTGTCGCAGCAGGAAGCCAGGCTGTTTTTTGGAGCACATTGCTTGCGAGGACATGCCACGATTGCTTGATAGGAGGGGGGGGGCGGGGCGGACAGAAAAATGGTTTGTGTAGAGGTGAAGAGGTGACTTCCACCAACTGAATTTTAGCATGAGGAAGGTAGTCCCAGACATGCCGCAGAGTTTCGACCACGGCTAGATTGGCTAGATGTGGTTACTTGAGAGCCATTAAGTTTTTGTGGTACCGCGCGCGTTGCTCAGACACTCGGAAAAGTGAACGCCAGTTGTCGGCGAACGTAAGACGGAAGACGTTCCGAGCGCGACGGCTACCAGCAGTGGAAACATGTGTTTGGTCTTGTCGTTCTGAAGTCACCGTGAAGCCTGAAAGCCCTGCCAGCTTTGTTAAGGAGACGCTTCTAACCGGCGAGGTCAACCAGGCACCGAGCTGCAGACGTGTCTCAAGTTCGTATCAGCAGGCACCTATACACATACACACATGCATAGATGCACGTGTTCGATTTTGCTGTCCTGTGTGTGCACGTTCATATGCATGTATCTATGTCTGTGTTTTTGTTTGTGTGATTTTCTGTTTGGTGCGCATGTGTTTGAGTTGTGGTCCTCATGCCCGCAGTAGGCATGTAATACAACATGTGAGAGCTCTGAAGCGGAGTAGCAGGCATCGGCGAATTTTGTAGTTGTGTGTCAAGACGACAGCTGCAACAATCCTTTGCGTGACTTGAATTGAGGCCGGCCGGCTCGTCGTGTTCCTCCACTCCGCACAGGACGTTTACGTTGAGGTCCTCGCATGGATAACGTGCAAGTTCCGAAGGTGTTGTCGACATTCGTTGCTCTTTCCGAATTGCAGGTGCATCCAGGTCTTTGCTTGCCAATGAGTTTGCAGAGCTTTGCCAAAATGGCGTTTGCCTCAAATCGGCATGACGAGCACACACATCGTTCTGAGATGCCATGTTGCCAGAGGTTGCGAAGGTATTGAAAAGACGGCGCTACACAGGGTCGTCCTGGGAGGCCATGGCAAGCAGACGAGTCGGATTGAAGAGGGATCCTGCTCACGCTTCTGGAAGGCACCAGCTGTGCTGAGGGTCATTGACGGGCCCTTGCGGGACCACCTCCCGAGACTTTGCAATATGCACAAGACTTCAGACCTTCACGCGCACTCGCAGCGGTTGTGATACAGTGCTATACGTGTGTACATCATGCCATCTTCGAGTTCGGATGCCACTGAGGAACGAGTGCCCTTGGTACGCTTTGTCGCCACAAGGCTGACGAAATGATTTGTTTGAGCCATGGGACTCTATGCCTCTATGCGCGTGTGCTTGCGTCGCAGGTGAGAGCATCCAGCTAAAGGACCGCAAGTCAATGGTGACCAAGGTGTCAGAATATGGGGGGGTTCCCGAAAATAGGGGACCCTACTATAGTACCCTAAATAGTAGGATCCCTTTTATAAGGACCCCAAAAAATAAGGTACCCCTAATAATTGGAAACCCCCATAATGCCTCGAGTTCTCAAAGGCAACCTGCAGCCTTCGTAAGGAATTCGTTGTACAGGAGCCGGAGTTGGACAAACTGACTCTTTTTTGAATCGCAGGACTTTGTTAGGGACATGGTACTCGACAGCCCATCCGGTTTGGTCCTGAGCTTCAGGTAAGTTAAGTAAGGGAAGGCCGAAAGGCCCCCCCCCTTGTTACCTTCGCAGTTTCTCGATCCGAGGCCTCAGCTGCCTGCCGGGCAGTTCGGGCGAGCCTGCCGAAGTGGCTATGCCAAGAGCCTTTGCCCGCCTGCCGAGGTTTTCCAGGGTTTGGGTTTTTGGGTTTACGGTAGTAGTATCAGTATTTTCATTTGGTGTTCCCACCATGCCAGGTGTTCTCGGTTGGCGCATCCATCGGCGACGCAATGCGGGACTTGGGTTTGGGCACTGCCAGAGCTTGCTCAGAGTTTGCGAAGCATGAAAGGCTCACTTGTTCTGCCGCGTAGTATGCGTTTCGAGGAGGGACCGGTTTCTGCATGGCTTTTGCATAAACCCAAAGCTCCTCGTATCTTCTGACTTCTTGGCTTTGTTTGAGCGGCACGGCTCAAGATGGCGAATCCTCAGTCTGCTGTAGCCGATCCATGGCAGTCCACTCTGGACGCCGCAGCTCGGCATGGCTTCGGTAGACTTACGGTGTGCAGTCTATGATATAAATGTATGTGTATATACGTATATACATACACATAGGTCTACTTAGACTTACTTTTACATATATATATATATGTAGAGAAAATGTAGAAGCAGGTTCCTTTCAGGCAGCCAGATACACACTATTTGTAACCAATCCAGAAGAAACCTAGGTGGTACCGGCAGTCGTGGCTTTGTCAGTCACGGCAGTTCGTGGCTTTCAAGATGATGTCCCTGGTGCGCACGGTGGCACGGGCTTCGTAGTTGACGAAAAGAGAGGCCTCATTCTCACGAATCGGCATGTTTGCACATGCGGGCCGCAGAGGGCGACTGCAGCTTTTGTGGGCTTGTTGGCAGCAGCCAGTTCAGGTGTCACACATGTTTTTGCACTCAAGTTTGCGCAGCCTTCATGCCACGTTGAGGTTGCCCGGCAGCGGAAGAAGTCGAGGTGTCGATTGCCTACGTAGATCCAATCCATGATTTTGCGTTTCTTCGTTTTGATCCTCTTGGTCTGAAAAACACGCGGCTTTGCCAGATTCAACTGGACCCTTATGGATGCAAGGTTGGTGAAGACATACGTGTGGTTGGTAATGACAACCTCGAAAAGCTACAGATTCTGGCCGGAACCATCGCAAGAGTTGATCGCAATGCTCCTGAACTCAGTGGCGACTTCAACGACGAGAACACGTTTTATGCGATGGCTGCCTCAGGGACACGAGGTGGATCGAGTGGCTCACCCGTTTTGAACAAGCAGGGCAGGGCCATCGCACTAAACGCTGCGGCCACCAATGGAACGATGCACGGCTTCTACTTGCCATTGCATCGCGTGGTTCGTGCGCTTCAGCTGATCCAAGCCGATGCTCCAGTGACTCGTGGCACCATCTGCACCTCCTTCAAGTATATTTCCTTTACGGAGGCCGAGAGGCTCGGTGTTGAGTCTGCATTCTTACAATCCATCATTGAAGGTGACGCGAGCTATGGCGCGACTTTCTCCGAAAGTTGTCGGCCAGGAGGCGTTCTGCAAGTTCGATCCGTCATTCCTGGTACCCAAGCTGCCCAGGTTCTTTGCGAAGGGGATGTGTTGATGGAAATTGGTGGCACGCCTGTTGTCGACTTCGTAGTGTTGGATGACGCCATGGACAAAGCAGTTGGCAACTGTTTGCCCATCACGATCTACAGGAACGGAAAGCTTCACGAGCTGGAGTGCCAAGTCCAAGACTTGCACGTTCTCATCCCGCACCGGTTTTTGGAAATTGGGTTTGGCATTTTCCACGAGGTTCCTTACCAGACTGCGCAGAAGAGGAATGTAATTCTGTCAGGAGTTTACGTCGCGACGGCCGGTGCTGTCCTTGGTCAGGCGCTCAAATCTGACACCATCATTTCTGAAGTCAATGGCCAGCCTACTCCTGATTTGGCATCCTTCGAAGCTGCCATTATGCAGATCTCGGATCAGCAGTATTTCCAGGTGACGTTCACCACCCCCGGCGCATCCAGTCAACGCCGGTGCCGAGCATTCGTCAAAATGCAACATCACTGGGGACTCATGCGGACGTGGACCTTGGCAAAAAATCGAACTTGGCTGCCGTGTCAAACAGCCACCCTGCGTGAATCCCCAAGCGTGAAGAAACGAAAGAGACGAAGCTCTGTGTCCGGGTCTTCGACTTCGAGCAGCAGCAAGCGCCCATCCAGCAAAGCGGCACTTGCAGGATCATTGTGCACTGTGACTTTCCGCACGCTGGTGCAGTTTGATCTTGATGTCTCTGCGGGCAGCGACAGTCCATCAGAGTGTGGTGACATGATTTGCTGTCGTGGTGCTGGAATCGTCTTGGATGCAGATGCAGGGCTGATTCTAACCGACAGGGCCACTGTGCCACAGCCACTGGGTGACATAGAGGTCATCTTCGAAGACGAGATGCATAGCGCTTCCGCCCTCTTCTTACACCCAATCCATTCCATGGTGGTCCTCCGCATCGTTGGCGGAGCGCCGTCACCTTCCGCAGTCTTCGCGGACATGCCGCTGACGAGCGGACAGGAATGCGACCTCGTCGGCTTAGATGCCCAAGGTCGGCAAGTTTCCGCCAAAGTCCACATTGAGGAGATGCGCTCAGTGCAGGTGCCGCATGCACCAGGACGCTGGCACGAAACAAACATTGAAGGAGCGGTCATTCATGACGCTCCCGGTGATGTGACAAGTGGAGTTCTAAGCGTCGGAAACAAGATTTGCGCAATCTACACGAATGCCGCGCACCACGAAGATGGTGAGGTCGTCCGGTTTAGCTATGGCCTGCCGGTGCACAGGTTTTTTCCCATCCTCAAGCAGCTGGCGCCCAAGACGGGATGTCCAAAGCAGCCTGCTATTGCATCCCTGGAGGTGCAACTCAAACCTGTCTCCTTAGCCAACCTTCGCCGTCTCCCTGCAGAGCTACGACCCTCCTTCGAGTGGCTATCGAAGCTGGGATGTGAAAGTAAGAACGACAAGAAGGCCAAGCAAGCTAAGCGCTCCGGGATAGGAGGAGCTGTCTTCATCGACAGCATCACCGCAGGCGGGCCATGTCATGCGCTGGCCCAGGAGGGCGACATTTTGGCAGCTGTGGGAGGCCACCTTGTTCCTCGGATTCAAGATTGAACAAAAACTTGAAAACTTGTCATGTTGCTCCAGATTCCAAGCAGCACTTGGAAGAAAGTAGTATCATTACAGAGGATGATAAGAATGAGAATGCTTCGGACGAAGTACAAGAATGGCCATGGTCAGCGTCATCATCACCAGCACAATAACCACAACAGTAGAATAGAACCTTAAAGTGGGAGTTTCAGAAAATCAGGGGTACCTTATTTTGGGGTCCTTGTAATAAGGATCCTACTATTTAAAATACTATATTAGGGTCCCCTATTTTCGGAAACCCCCAAGTAGGACTGATACCGATAAGAAGAGCAGTGCTCGTAGCGATGCAAGTTTGGGTTTCATTCGGGCCAAAGCCAGAACCCAGGTCCGAAGCGCGGAGGAAGTGGAGACCAGGCACCTCCGGGCTCCTTCATGGCTCAACTATGATAGATAGGTAGGTAGATAGATAGATAGATAGATAGATAAATAGATAAATAGATAAATAGAAAATACTTGTGGGGAGGCAACTCCCCACCACAGCCCTGGCAAAGATTGGTATATGAACATATTATATATCATATATATATATATATGTTATATATATATATACAATATGTATGTGTATATATATATACACACATATGTATAGATAAACAGATAGACACTTATGTATTTATTTGCCTGCTTGTTTCTATACTATCATCTGCTCCCAACAACCCGAATCTAGCTATTAAGGAAGGCCGCGTATCAAGTAGCCCCTTACGTGAATGAGCCCTTGTCTAACGTATGAAGGCCCATTATTTTTTGTCTTGGGAGGCTCGAAGCTTTGAAGGAGATGGCGCTGAAGGGTCGTCCGTCGAGAAAGTCCATTGAGGCCTGGCTTGGTTTTCGGAATGAGAAGTGGCAGGGCTGTTTGGCCTTGAGAGTTGGCAGACAGAAGTGGTAGGTTTAAAGTTTTGGGGTTTAGGGGTTTGGCATTGGGGAATTTGGGTAGGCATAAATTCATGATGAGGGTATGGAACAATCCGGTTGGCCAGAGACTGGTATCATCATATTGGCTTCCGCGTGGGCATGCCGTGAACTTGTCAGCCTATGTTCACCTGAGCTAGCTACACCGGTTAGAGCATGAATGAAGTTGTCAGACCGTCAACCCTGAATTTGATCGGAAGTGGCTTCCTGCAGGTTCATGTTGTTCTCCTCCGACGCAATGAGGAGATTCGAGCCAATGTGACAGTGCCCTTCCTGGGCAGCGATGGTGCTCGGCGGATTTTGGGTTGGAACGGGCTGATCGTCCAAGAGACACCTCGATCGATGAAAGAAGCTGGACCAGTACCAGCCGGCCTCTGCATCTCACAAACGCTCCTTGGATCGCCAGCCGAAGCCTCTGCCATCGAGGGGAACTTCATCCTCGGCGTGGACGGCATCCCAACTCCCAACTTGGAGTCTTTGCTGAGAGTAGGCCGGGGACCACTACCATTCTATATAGAGCATAACATTGATTCATACTTGCAGCCGTAGTTCCAGCAGATCCTAGCCTTATGGGCATTGGCATTGTCACGTTCGTGGTATTTTTCGTTATCATGATGATTGATTGTTTTTTTGCCCCTGGCAACTCTGATACCTGGACAATACTTGTAATACTCTTACGATCTCTTACGATTGCAAATCCTTTTGCCGCTGGTTTTTCGTTACTTCGTTGTTTGCTGCAGTTGGAGTTCGTGTGCACGTGCTCGTTTGCCTTGCTCCTAAAATTGTTTTCCATGCTGTTGATCACCACGTCCAAGCATGAGGAACTTTGGCGCAGCAGATTGATTACGCAACCCTTGCCAGGTCAGTGCCGCAAGCATCTGCGTGTGGAATCTTGGTGACAGACAAGTTGATTCCTTTCGGCAGAATGCTATTTTTGTTGCTTCATTTGTGCCTCCACGCACCTAGTGGCTAAGGAAACAGCAGACATACACGGGCGTCGATTCCTAAAAGCTTTGATGCCTGACCCGCTTTATTGGCCTCTTTTCGAGATGAACCAAGATGAGCCACTTACCTGCATTAGCATGCATGCTGTTTGTCCGAAGGCAGGTCCAACAAACTGCCAAGCTGCCAACAGCTCGGACGGAGTTTCGTGCAATCGTAAAGGGGAGCCAAACATCATGCATGCAATGAGTCTAAACCAGGATGGATCAGGATGGTTGCAGGATTCTGTCGGGTCTCCCATCTCGAATCAAGGCATGGCGCTTGGTTTTATCAAGAGATCAAGCAGGCCCCAAGAGGTGTGGCTGAAGAAGTTTGAGCCAGCAAATTGATGCTGTCGTGCACGTCATGCAGGTCTTGAAGCCTAGATGGCCCGGCAGGGTTACAGTGATTCATGAACACGGCCGTTTGGTAATCTCCTCTGGAAAAGATGGCTACCCTACACCTCTAACCTTAGACCACTGAGCCCTAAACCTGCCATCTTGCAAAAGGCCCTCAAAAAAGAAATCCTGACATCTGGGCTTCTCAGAATTCGACTAATGCCTGACTTCGTTGTTTGCGGTCGAGATTTAGTCGACCCCCACAGCGCCCACATGCGGAAATCTCCCCCACCCCAGAAGCAGGAGCAACATTTTAGGGTTTAGGGTGTGAGGACACGGCTGCTTAGGGCCTAGCACGGGGAGTCGCAGGGGTTGTTTCCCTTTGGCGCCGCCTAATGTCTTAGCGAAATACGAATCACACGCTGACAATATGTTGGCTCGGTGCAAACGAAGCAATCGTATTTTCCTCGGTAGCCTGGAGCTATGGAAAGTCCGTAGTAGGTTTCACTGCAGGAGCGATTGCACATGGCAGGATTTGCAAGTCTTAAAGCTTGTGTCGAGTTTCCTCCTGCAGTGGGCTGGCACATTGCCTTTGCTTTCTTCCGATTGAGAGCTAGGTCAAGCCTAACAGTGCACAGCAAGAACATGCCAGGCAAGCAATTCGCTGTAGGTGCAAGTGTACATAGCAATCTGGTTGAGATGTTTGGAGCTGCAACTCCAGACCAAAGGCTCGCCTCCCGGCTATTGTGCCCTGCGATCCGTCCGGACGACCGCGCGGTGCTTCCAACAGAAACAAGTGAGGTGTTCATGACAGTTATCATTCTCTCTTCGGTTTTGTAACGGTCACTATTACAACTATAGCTGCACATGTTCTTTGTTGTTTGTCATTCTTGCATGAATTGTTGCGATCAGTACGACAGCCACAGCATGCGTTGGCAGTGCTTCAAGCATTGCAAGGACCCGATGTTCGCGAACCTTGCCCAACAAAGGCGTCCTCGGTGGCACATGTGCGACTTGCGCTGGCAGTTCTTTTCGACGTGTCAGGATTTCGATATGTCCGTGGGACTTGACTGCTTCGGCATGCTGTAACATGCTGTGCCACCGCCTTACTCAAGTGAGCGCCACATGCAACCTTCAGAAGATAAGGGATCCTAATATCGACCCTAAATAGTAGAATCCTCATGAAAAGAACTCGTAGAAGGTACCTCCAACTATAAGAAGCCATAAGATGCTCGAGGCCACGAGTTCGAGCGCTGCTGGGAGCTGCGTGATCCGGAGGGATGAGGCCGGCAAAGACGAGCTGAAGATCTTCGCCACAAAGCAGGCGAAGGTCTTCGCACCGTGATACGTCACGCGTGAAGCTCTCCGGGTTCAAGGTGTGCGATGGAGCTGTGTACAGTCGACTGGGGGAGAGCAGTCGAAACCAAGAGCTCCTAGCCCGCTCGAATTTACAAGCGCACAAAAGCGCAGCAAAAGCTTTGGAAGTGCTTGCTACTTCCTTGTTGGTGGTACCGTCGCAGTCATGGTGGCCATTGCCACACTTCCTTGTGCCTTTGTCCTCAGCCTTTTACAAGCATATACATTTGGGACTGCAGCCGGTGCTTCACGGTTGGAGGCCGTGCTGGATTGGTTGTAGCACCGCAGATCAGGAAGCCCAGGCAGGCGCAAACGAAAGACGAAAGAGCAAGCCAGAAACTCACAACAAGAAAACGATCAACATCTCACTGGATGTTCAACGCTCGTTTCCCGTTCGGTAAAAAGCTGTAACTCTCTTGAATCGCAATTGAGCCCAAACCCCAAACCCTAAACACACTAGGAAACAAATCGCTAACCCCATGTCAGCGGTCTTTTTTACAGGATGGTCCAGCGTCGACCAGGACGAGGAGCAGCCTTCGGGCACAGGCCTCAGGCTTCTCCGTTCTGGTACATGTCCGGGGGCTTCCCAAAAATTAGGGGTCCTGTGATGTTTTGAGATAGGTGGATGTGCCTTTGCGAAAGTCCTTCTGCGGTGGATGTGCCTTTGTGAAAGTCCTTCTTCGGTGGATGTGCCTTTGTGAAAGTCCTTCTGCGATGGATGTGCCTTTGTGAAAGTCCTTCTGCCTAGTTTTGCCAGGGCTGAATGACTCGAAAGAGAACCGCAAGCCTGACCTTACTCAGTAGTGACTTCGCACACGCGGTCAATATGGACAGGGAGGGACAGAGAGAGAGAGAGAAAGAAAGACAAGAAAGACAAGAAAGAAAGAATAATGAAAGAAAATTGCAGACACATGTACCTTTCTTGGCCGTTCTTTTTCGCAGCTGCCTCGCTGCAGTTGCTTTTTTTGGGCCCAATCAGAAGTTCAGCTGACCGTGTGGCTGAGGCTGGTTGCTGCCGTTGCGACAGCATGGGTGGCAGCCACGCTCAGTTTCGTTCTAGGTGCCTTTGATGACGACTGGGACGGTCCTAGGGAGCTTTAGGGAACCTAAGGGAGCTCTAGGGCGAGTTGGGGATTATTGGGTTATATACCCCCCTTAGAACCCCCTCCCTTCAGGATCCCATAGTGGAAAGCTAAACCCTAGACCCTAAACCCTAAACCCTAAACCCCTAAACCCGCCTCGATTCCACCTAAACCGTACCGCATCCCCCGAAACCGCTCCCCCGATTCCAGGCACCGGCTCGCCCAGGCGGCTCCGGGACGTCGGAGCCAAGGCTCGAAGAGCCTGAGACCTGCGGGAGCTCTCTCTGTGGAGGGATCATATCACAGTATACTATTCCTTCTATTACAGTATATCATATTACAATATATTATATTGCAGTATATTATATTCAGTATACTATCCATTATATTACAGTATCAGTATATTATAGTATACTGCATTATAGAGTTTGTGTCCAGGCCGGCATGATGGATGTGGACGTCGCCGCGAGCGTGGGCATGCCCAACCCGGCAGTTCAGGATGCCAAGGCCCGTTCTTGGGAGCTAGGATTAGGGGGACCCTTGGGGATATAGACCCTCTCAATAAGGTCCCTTTTAAGAGAGTCAAAAGTAGGGTTCAGAAGGGGTACCCTTTAAGGGGTACCCCTAATAATACTACCTACTCCTTCGCTCTTAGCCGCGCCATGTTTTTTTCTGCTGCGAGCCACTGATAGTAACCAGACGAGTAGAGAGCAGACACACACGTACACACACGCACACAGACAAATAATATACATACATATACATATATATATATATATATATATGCTCGCCCCCCCATGATCCACCGTGACCATGAATGTATGTATGTATGTATATATATATATATATATATTTGTTTATCTACTTGTACATACACATGTAATCTGAAGCAGTCTTAAAGCTTGGGTTTGCGAGAAAGTGCCCTGGCGTCTCGAATACGGCGGGGCTCCTACAAGAATCCTTTAAAAAAAGCTGGAAAGTCTAGGAGGTCCGGTCGAACCCTTCTTACGGATATAGAGTGAACACCTGGCCGCTTACAACCTTCCGACCCAAGTCCAAGCCGATCAGCCACGTGGTGATACACTGCTGCATGCTAAAACGAAAAGCCATGAGCTCGAAACCCTACAAAGAGGCGACAGATTATATATATATATATATCAGAAACAAGCTAACTCCGTCCCTAAACCCTAAACCCTAAACCCTGAAATAGATATATATATATATATATATATACAAAACAAGCTGACCCTAAACTCCGTCGCTGCTGCGGGCAGGAGAGGCTGATGGACTTGCTCGAAGACAGCTCCCTCGAGGAAGAGGTCCTCCGACCTGAAGGCCGACCCTTCGACCCTGCGTGGTTTTCTGAAATTATACAAATACATATGGGTGCCGTATTATAATAAGGACCCAAAAAGGGACCATAATTTTGACAACCACCCATATGACACATAAATGTAAGGTATATGGTCTGTGTATAAAATAGTATATAGAAAGGACAGTAGATGACAAAACGATAGAATCATACATATGCATATAGATAGATACCGCTACTTCTTCCAGCTTCTACTGCTGTAGCCATGCTTCTGAGTTGCACAGGCAAGCCAATGCGCGGGCGTGTTGACGAAGCGATTGTCCGCTTAGAGAGGCCATCGGCGGTTCGGATGTTCCGACACACCAGACGCGAAGAAGAGGGAGAGAGCCACTCTTCCACTCTTGCTCACGCTCCCTTTATTGGCAACCGTGAGGCTGAACACCCAGGAGGAGCCTGTGTACTCCATTGAGCTAGACGGCACATGGAACGTGAAGTACGGCCCCCAAATATGCCAGAAGTTTCACTCAAAGGGTGCCTTTTGATTTTGTTTGTCCTCAGGAATTCTGGGTTTAGGGTTTAGGGTTCATCATGAACCCTGAACCCTAAAACCCCAAAGTACATGAACCGTTCGTGTGTTTTTTCCCATCGGTGTCTTCTCTGAGGTACGCGGGGTCCTATGCTCCTGGCCTCCTCTCCTCACCAACTAGGGAGCTGGCTCTCTTCTTGTATGGTGCCTTGGCAGGGTAACCAGATCCCAATCGGGTTTAGGGTTTTAGGGTTTGGGGCTTTAGGCTTTAGGGTTTTAGGGTTTAGGATTTTAGGGTTTTAGGGTTTAGAGTTTAGGGTAAGCTTCTTATAGCAACATTATTGTGGTAGGCCCTGGTTTTGAACCTGAATCTGAACTGGAGTCTGGTGCAGTTCTCCGACGGTTTTCCTGGCTTCCTTCCAGTAGCCTCGTCAGGTGGCGGATTTTCGCTGGGAAACGCTTTGTCATCCTTTGCGCAGGGATTTTGGGGCCGACGCCTCGGCTACGGCTGTCGAAGAGAGCTAAGATCGGTGCTGCATCTTGCACTGAGGTCAGTCTTTGGGCGTGAAGCTTGGTTCCAAGAAGGCCCCAGCAGCAAGGAGTCACTGGCCTGAGATCTATATACTCCAAGGTTACTATACGGTATAGACTATACGGCTCTCAGGTTAGGGTACGGTCACAACAGCGTTACTATGACAGAGTTAAGGTTAATCTATATATATATATATATACATATATATCCGGGTTTCTATGAGGCTTACGTAAGTTTGCTTGGACAGGTCCAGATCTCCGGTGGCCGCGATGTCGAAGCATCGGCCAAGGTTGAAGTCGCTGGGCGCCAGGTGCGATTCCGAGATTCCCACGTCGGCTCACACACAGGGATGCGGGTTTGGATATTCTAGTCTGGGTTCTATGAGACACGCAAAAGGGGACAGCATGAGACAGCTTCGTCGCAACGTAAGACGATGAGTAGAATATGGGAGTTTCCGAAAATAAGGGGTACCTTATTTTGGGGTCCTCATAATAAGGATCCTACTATTTAGGGTACTATATTAGGGTCCCCTATTTTCCGAAACCCCCATTTGGCTCATGGTTGGATGCATGTTTCTCCAATCCGGCCTTGCTCGAAGACATCCCTGTGGTGCTTTCTATAGCAACCTTAAGTACTCTAGTGACCTATGATACCTTCATTGTGGTAACCTTACTATAGTAACAGCCCCATTATGGTAACCTTACTATAGTAACAGCCTCATTATGGTAACCTTATTATAGTAACAGCCTCACTATGGTAACCCTACTATAGCAACAGCCTGATTATGGTAACCTTACTATAGTAACAGCCTCATTATGGTAACCTTACTATAGTAACAGCCTCATTATGGTAACCTTACTATAATAATACCCTCATTATGGTAACCTTACTATAGTAACCTTGTTAAAGTGTTTTTTGAGCCGCAGGAGACCTTGACTTACAAAGCCGAGCTTATGCCGCTGAGCGCGCAGCGCATGAGCGAAGAGGCTCGGGTCATCGCTGCCGGGCTAGAAGCTGGAGCTCCTTGTGTATACAATAAGTCCCCTAATATGGGTTATAATTATAGTTACCTTACTTGTATCCCCACTTATAACTACCCATGAACCTCCAAGCAGACAAGCTCCCCCCAGCCCACGACGGCTGATGCAGAGAATGGTGGTCTTGCAATTTCAGGTTGCAGTTGCCGTACTCTGCGCTCTTGTCGTGTGCTCTCCGACATCGGGGACATCACACATCCCGTGTTCGTCCTCTCCAGATGTCTTTTGCGGCTCCCTCCCTGCCCCCTTTCTCTACGACTCCCCACTTTCCTTGCGCTCCCTCCGCTTCTCTCACCTGAGCTCCGAAGGTGATTGCCCTGAAGTTGCCGGATCCCATCGGCGATCAGGACTTCGCGCTTTGCACACGGAGTTTCTCGCGACAGGAAGCTGCCAGGCCATCTTGAGATACCAGAGCTCCCTTTTCTGAGCAGGCCTCGGCTACACAAGAAGGCATACTGCTGGTAGAAGCCTTTTCACAGCGCCCGGGTGACAAGGGCAGCGAAGGCACCATGCAAACGAGCCCAAGGGGCACCCGGCTGCTAGAAACTAGAAGGCGTAAGAGAGCCTGAAAAAAACGGAAGACGGTAGTGGGCAAGCCTGAGCGCTTGGACCAAGTTCCAATTCAATGCATCGAAGTTTCTTTCTGCAAGGACCTTCCCCTCGAGCTTCGTCGAAGTATCCTGGTGACATACCTGGACGAGGACGAACACCCAGTTGTCAGAGTTTTCTTCCACTGTAAGGTGCTAAAAAGGCAAGAGTTTGTTTTCATATGCGAGCGGAGGATATGATGATCGTCCGGGATGAGTCTGGAGTTCCAGAGGCCTTCCCAACAGCCTTTTGCAAAAAACTCAGGAAGCCTTGGCCCTTCCGCTTCCGTGGTTGTGCCCAGGTCCTTGTGAAGGAGCTTGCGCCCGTTTCGCCCACCATAGTCGCAGCCGAGCAGGCCACTGAGCCAGCATAAGCCAGCCAGCTTGCCATCGGTAGGAGGCAAGAACTTCATATGGGGGTTTCCGAAAATTAGGGGTACCTAATTTTGGGGCCCTTATAATAAGGATCCTACTATTTAGGGTGCTATATTGGGGTCCCCTAGTTTCGGAAACTCCCATATCATATTCGCCAGGCACCAGTGGATTCCACCAACTCATCCAGTGAAAGCGACGAGGGCCGGGCACTATGTGGACACGGCTGATATTTTGCGAGAGTTGCTGCAATATAGAGGGTGCGCCGTTGGCATGTTCCTGTCTGGCCAGCTGCTTTGCATGGCCATTTCTGCTAAGATCGGGCCTTGCTCGATGCAGCCGAGTCTGAGGCCGAAACTTGGGACTTAGAAGGGCCATAATGTGGTCATGCGGCATACATACACACACAGAGTGCCGTCTGTCATGACAGGATGTACCGCATCATGTTATTGCGCTATATTTGGAGACCGTCTCCCTTGTTTCAGTGGGCAGTAGCTCTTCGCCTGGATCTTTGGAGCGAATGACAATGGTATGGCATACCTGCCTGATCCTGCAGGAGGCGAACAGACCCAGGCAAGAGAAAAAGGCACGAGATATGAGATATTGCATGGAATGCGAGAGAACACTGGCTGCAATCACGATTGTAACCACAAGACAATCCGCCAGTGGCCGCCCTCTATACAGGTCTATAGAACCCGAAGCCGTCAGCCTTTTGTGGGATCCACTCGTCGTGCAGGCTTCTGCCCTCACCCTGGTTCCGCCGATGCCGGCTTTCCTTCAGTATTGGGCTAGAGGAAACAGCCCTTAACCTATCAAAAAATTATAGGGCTCCCAAACTGGGTTGTCTTTTGGGATCTTTTTTAATTTCTTCCCTTACTATTTTGTAGAGAACCATAATAGTACATAATTTTCAAAGGGCTTAAAGGACAACTTAGCAAAGAGCTTAAGCCCGAATCGTTTGCAGGCCTCCTGAGAGACTTCCGAGTCTTCCAGGCGGGAAGCGAAGTGGAAGCTGAGTACTTGGTACAAGTCGGGGCACTCACAGTCCCCACATAATTATACTAGGATGTACACCAAAGTCCGATTCTGCCTGTTAACTCCCTTGTCCCTACATCAGTTGGATCCTGGGAAGTTCAGGTCTTCGTCGGAGGTTGAGGGCTTCGGGTAGTCGCGAAGATGTGGGAAGTTTGAGGTCCAGGCGGGTTTGGAGGATCTTTCATCGTTTTTTGTGTCCTTGCTGCTACCACTGCCGTTGGTGCGGTCTTGCTGCGACCGCTGTTGCAGCTGTTGGGATTCAGGGCTGTGAAGGAGTGCTGCTTCGGAACAGTTCGGGGCCTTGAGATCTTGAACAGGTTTGCGCTCGTAGCAAGAGAATCCTGGGTGAAGAACTTGTCACAAGATGCTCAGGCAGCCCCTAAGAGAAACTGCCTTGTTGCATCCCCCTCCTCGGTCTGTATACGTTCGGCCCAAGACCGGTTTAGCCACAACGCATGGGACGGGTAACCACTCCAGCAGTGTCTTTCTGCACTTACCTCCAACCAATAACCCTAACCCTAGACCCTAAACCCTAAACCCTAAACCGAAACCCTAAACCCTACACCCTAAACCTAAACCCTAAACCGCCCGCAGGTGGCCCGGAAGCTGAGAGCTTCACGTGCTTCCACGATGGTCTCACCTGCTGCACATCTCCTCTGCTGATGCCAATGAGATCTCTCTAGTAAAATGCGGTAGGACCGTGGGGGATATCGCCTTCGAGAGGTGCAGCAATCCTCATGCCGCAGTCTACAGCAGGGCACCGTGGCCAGGGAACTGCGAGGAGACAATTTTCTCTGTTTGCAGAAGGCCTGCGAGCAACTTAAGTTACCCAGAGCGTCCATTTTCTGCAGCCTCATCTGACTGCATCAGAAAGTGCTTGCAGATGTCGAACTTGCGTGTCGTGTACCGTGACAAGACAGGCATCATTATCCAAACTGCCACCTGACCGATGGGGGGGTTTGACGGACCTGGGGCCTTGTGCACATGGTGGTCGGGAATACCTGTGACTGTGTCTTTGGGATATCCTTGCGGGGATACAAGCAACTTGGCGCCGAACATCACATCAACTTCGACCTAGCATGGGTGCAGCTTGTTGGTCTTTTTCGGCTGGCAGGCATAGAAGCCGTCATGGACGCAACGCATGACCGTGCAAGACCCCAGTGAGCATCACATTTTGCAATCACCCCGCCGGCCACCTTACAGAACTCCAGCCAAGCTACTGATACCTCCTCCCTCCACTACTTGACACAAGACCCACAGCAGACGTGACAACCCAGCCTTTCCTTGCCAGAGCAGAGTGCATGACACGTGCTTCCAGCGAGCTGTCCGCTCATCGTATTCCGCGATGGGGGTGGGGGCCTTGAAGAAGAGTTACCAAATACTAATACTACAGCAGTACAAATGCCAGTGCCAAAAAGGTTACTAACACCGAATACTAAGACTAAGACTAACATTAGTATAAGGACTATTACTGGTGCTTGTACTAGTACTAGCTCTAACTACAGTGACAGTATAATAATCCTACTACTCACTAGCCTTCAGTGCTTTGATCTCCCGCGCTTCAGGTTCCGATGCTCCGACCGACACCTGGCAGCCCTGGAATACCAAGCATCCTTGCCCCTCGGCAGTTTCGTTGTTAGGGTTTAGGGGCTTAGGGTTTAGGGTCTTCTTCTGCTTTGAGGATCATGGGTTGCTTACAAGTCAGGTAACTGCGCTGTATCTATTTTCCCTTTTTTAGCCACTCGATACTTGTCACCCTAAGTAAGCGTCTAGAGGTGGCCCGGTCCTAGTCACGGAGGCATGCGCTTTTGACTTCGAAGAAATGGAGGTTTCCGAAAATAGGGGACCCTAATATAGTACCCTAAATAGTAGGATCCTTATTATAAGGACCCCAAAATTAAGGCACCCCCTGTTTCCGGAAACTCCCAAATCTATAGTCATGACAACACGGCAGCCCTCTGCTCGACAGGCGTTGAATCCAGCCCCGAGCTCAGTGCCTCATTGGATTGCAAGTAGATTGAGAAAGCTGATGAGTTTAGGGTTCAGGGTTTAGGATGCATTCGTGCACACATACATGAGCCTGCGTTCTCACGCCCATGCATTCGCACATGCTGCTGTGCCCTGCTGTAGCTGATTTGTTGAGACTCATTTTTCTGGCCTGCGTAAGGACCAAGGGGGGTGCCACGAACCTCAACTCAGACACGAAAGGTTTTGGCGTTCAGCCTTGTGGTTTCACCTCGAAGCGCTTTGCGTCCGGCGGGCGGGGCGGGGGGAGAAGGATAGTATCGACAGCCAACCTTATGAAACCAGCCAAGTCCTAGTTGAGCTCATTTCAAGCTGGCAAAACCTTCTTTTGTCTACGAAACAGTCGAACATCTTAGCCTGGAAAAAGTCAACCCTGCACCCCAGTTTCCTGCCAGGGTCCTCGACTGGAACACCGTGCTTTTAAACGAGCTGGGCCCCTGTATGGTGCAGGGTTGCCTTGAGCTTTCCTGAGGCCTGGCTCGACATCTTCCGTTTCTGCAGCATCCGAGACCTAGGCCAGAACTCTTCGAGTTGTGAAGCGAGAGTTGTCTGTTTTTCTAGTGGATCTCCGTGTTGTGTTCTCCGATCTTCTGCGATACCGTGCTCTATCATGCTGCCCTTTGTTTCACTACCACAAATGCTGCTACTATGCGTATTTCACCAGCTGAGCCCATCGAGCTTTCGCCGTGGTGCTCCAGGTGCCAGCTTGGCGGTCGACCGGAATTGGAGGGCCGCCGGCGACTCCCACCACGTGTGGGCCGATGCCTACGTCAGCCTCCAAGCATCCAAAAGACTGAATGTGGGTTCTTTCTATGATTCTATGCCGTCGTTCTGGTACCTGAGGATCGAACTCAAAGAGTGGATGACTCCAGTGCTCCGAGCGGTCCCTTTGCTGGGTTTCTGATGGTTTACGTGCCTGGAGCCGAGTCCGAAATTTGCGCGATCTGTTGCAAAGAGAGGTGAGAATCTGCTCCGGTCGCTCATCGAACGACCCTTCGGGGAGGCACTCGGTGAGGGCTGCTTTCCGGAAATCCATTGCTTTGGCTTCAGGATGCGGTGGGATGGCATGTAGCGGTCCTGGCCGAAGACCACGGCTATAGCAGCGAGCGCTACTACACAGGCTGGGCGAACACACCGAAACCTGCGTGCGAGCTGTACATAAAATGCAGGACGAGTCGTTGCCTACAGTGCCGAAACCGACACCTACCTGATAGCCTACGACTCGGAAGGCACGGCTCGTGAGCTCGATCCTCTGAGGGCTAGCGAGTCCCTGCGAATGCGACAGGTCAAGAAGACCAGCCGCACATGCACTGGGAGCAGGACGGAACTGTGACACACTTTGTCATGGCTTCGAAAGGGCCAAATGTCTGTGCAGGAGAGGCGGAAACGAACAGCAGCCATGCGCAGTGCACTGAGATCTACTTTCGAGAAGGGCCCTCGCCTGGCTGCAGACAGGCTTGGCAGCAGTTTATGGATTTGCGGCCGAGGACACAATCCATCCCTAGCGGGGAAAAGTCGGTTCTCGTTCTTGTCGCCACCACCCCATCTGCCAAAGTCAGGCAGGCCATGCTGTTTGCTGCAGCACGGGCACCTTCTGATATGTCTCAAGCTTGCTTTGTTGTTCGAGTTTCGGCTGATAAGCAGAAGCTCGTGAATACAAGGCAGCGTGGTATCAGATTTCTACTTTTCGCTTGCTTCGCTCCATCGCGACCGGGACAGTGCTCTCATTCCACAAAACCTAAGCGGCTAAGAGAAGCAAAGAATCCCCCCAAACCCAGCGCGTTCGGAACGGCACAAAGAATGCTGAGAAACCGGAACGCCCTGTGCCATGGCGCGAGCGCAGCACGTTTGTTGCAGCTCCCGGCTAATGCTGAGCACAATGGGCAGCGCCATCTTAAGCGTGTTGTTGCTGAATGGTGTCGTGAGCGAAATCAACCTGACCAACATCACGTCTTTCTCCATCGAGGCAGCTTTCAGTGCAGCGCCTCAAGCGGAAGAGCTCCAAACGGCCACCGTTCCGCAGATGCCGGAGCTCGGTATGGCCAGTGGACCAAAGGAGCCCCAACAGCCAGAGAATCTCGCCTGAAGTAAGTCGCATTACTGTTACCTATGTCCATCTATGTCCTATGCCGTTTATGTTATCTGTATCATTTAGGTTATTACCGGTTATGTTCGTAGCAGTCTTCTTCTTGTTCTTATTCTCCCAGGCAGGCTAGGGAGCAGAGCAGTGCTCCAGCTTTCATGGCCAAGGCCCAGATCGCCCGAGGAGGATCAGATCTCTGCTGGAACCGATGATCTGGGTCAAAGTGTTGCGGTGGTCACGACGGAGTCCTGGATTGAATATAGTATGGCATTGGGTTTACGAATGTTCAAGGGTTTAGTTCGGGCTGAAGGATTGAGGAGTTTAGGGCCTAGGGTTCAGGGTGATATGAAACGCACTGCCACCAGCTGGTAGGAAGAAGATCGCAATGCTGGTCAGCAGCATCTTTAGCAGCATACCGACCCATACTCTAGAACAGGCAGAACGGCAAAAAAAAAAAGCACAAGCCCTGGGTCCTTTGCTGAGTTGTCCTTTTCAGATTTTCCACATGGGTAGTTCTCTAAATTAGGGTCCCTTTTGGGGTCCTTATTATAATACGGCACCTATTATTTAGGGTACCCCAAAAAGGACCCTAATTTTGACAACCACCCACATCTGAGACCACCTCGCCGGACAATGAGCCCAAGTTTGCCCGAGTGGGAGGCGGCTGGGCTCAGGAATGACTCTGGGTTTAGGCTTCGGGGTTTTGGGTTTAGGGTTTAGGGTTTTGGGTTTAGGTAACATCTTCAACAATGACAGTTAATGTACTTGTTGCTACCATTCGGCTCTCTTCCTATGCCTTCGCAGCTCAGTTGTAAGCTCCTGTCTTCGTGGCGGTTCTTGATTGAAGGTGGTGAAGCATTCCATGAAGTTGGCACGTGTACAATGTGAACACTCCTCAGTTCGAAGGGACTGTTGCAGATTGAGGGGCAAAGTGACGCAGCTGACTGCCTTGCAGCATCTCAAAATCCTAAAAACTGATGTTTGATATCCAAGAGCAAGCCTATTGAGTTGAGAGGGTGTGGGCTGCAAGTCTTAGGCCACGTTTGTCAGAATCCGGCCCTGTGTCCGAGTTTCAGAAAGTGAGGGGCCGTCATCAGTAGGATCCTTATTAAACTTATTATCAGGACCACATGATGTTAAGAAGAACGTCCATCTCGTTCCTGGAGGTGACCAACCATGTCCTCATCTCATGGATGTGACCTCGGCAGAACTGTGCCAGAAAGCTGCACACTTCTTCGGCAAGCGCTTTGTGCCGGGGCCTGCAAATGGCAGGCGTAGTCTTTTGGGAGTTTCGGGCAGTCTGGGCTGGCCCGTACCGTACGGATTGATTCATGAAGACGCAGGCCTCCTAAACCTTCAGGGTTGTCAGTTTGCTTTGCAGGCTCAGCGGAATTATGCAACGAAGCCTTGCCTGTGAGTAGAGTTCAGCAGTGCCATTTTGCCAGCTAAACTCGGCATGACTCGGCGAGCAGCCGCTCCAAACACAGTTTGGCTGGTGTAGGTGGGTTGCAGCAGTGCCTTTGTTGTCGCACTTTTGTTCCGTGGGTTTCGTGACGTTTTCTCAAGCATTGGTCGTCGTTGTCATCGTATGTTTGCCCCATGTCATGAGCAAGGTCGGAGCACTGGAGGCTTTGCAAGAACCCACTGGCTGTTTGCACCGAGTCGCTGATGATGACTACATGTTTAATGTGATTTCAACTTCAGTCCACAAGGAGGACAGACAGCGAGTCTGCACAGGTGGACCTGATATGGGCTCTTTGGATCAACATGTTTCACCAACGACACCGAGCCAAGTGGAAGAGGAAGTGGTTTTGCCGCCACCCGACAACAGTGACAACGACCCGCTGCCTGCTGATGAAGATTTCAAGATCAGCAGCACTTCCTGTCCTGTGGGAACATTTCCATTCCGGGATCCACAGCATTGCAAAAAGGCAGCCAGACGTCTCAAGCGAAAGTTTGCCGGGTTCATCTCGTCTTTGTCAGAACCTTATGGATGCATCCACAGGGCAGCAGACCAAGATATCATGTTCAACCGCTTCCGGACAAAGTTTTCGAAAGATGGCCGTGAGGTTGTTTGCAGCTCCAAGAAGGAGCCGGACAACAAGCTGCGTGAGCCCCTTTCTCAGGAAAAGGCGCTGCAGTTAAAGCTCTACTGCTTTGGGTGGACCGCTCGACGTCCTCGTGAAGAGCTCCTGCTGCCTCTCGCTCGGCAACTTTTTCAAGCTTGCGACGGCTATGCCTTCTTTACTGACACTGATGCCCCTGGCGAGAACGCCTCTGACATCATCAAGATCCCTTTGCCACGGACCCAGCAGCTTCGTTCCGAGCAGTTCTGGCTACTGCTAAAGAATATGGTGGGACTCCTCCCGGCTTGGGAATATTTGCTTCAGACAAACAGAACCGATGACTTTGACTGGGTGGTGAACCTCGAGCTGGATCACTTTGTGGTTGCCCCACAGCTCCGACGCACCATAGCAGACTACGTGAACACTATGATACTTGGCAGCCTCCCTGGGCAAGATCCCTGGGATGATGCCATCATGCTTATCTTCGGAAACGTCTTCGCCTTCAACATGAAGCTGGTGCAACAGATGAAAGCTGAGTGGGGTGTTATCGGCCGCGTCACTCGCGCAAAGTTTGGGCAGTAAGCAAAGCATGGCCAAAAGACCTAGGTATTTGTTCAGATCCAGCGCAGAGCATAGCCCTAGTATCTAGTATTCTAGTATATGATAAAGCATGGTATTCTTATTTGTTATCAAACCCCAAACCCGACCCGTGACTAAGTACGCCCTGCTTGCTTCCTGTGCGCCGGCTGAGGTGATCTCCGACAGCAGATCCAAGGGTCTCGGCTGCCCCGTCATCTCGGGATCACGAGCGCACAATGAGGGGCACTGTGAGCAGGATATGGTCTATGCGGCTGGGATGAATGGATCCGGGTCTTTTGGATATAGGGTTGAGAAAGGCACGGGGTTTGCAGGGCTTAGGCTTTAGGGAGATGGTAATGGGCATAAAGTGTGCAGGGTACTGTAATTTTGGCGAAGACTGCTCGTGGGTCCTTCCTGAAGCGTCCCCCGTTCCGACTCCCTGTTGTCCTGACATATCTCGTCGGTGTTCTCAACGTTTTGATGAGGAAAACAGCCTTTTCAAGGCAGACAGTGCCATTAGAAGAGTTCTTGATTTCTTGGGAGGCTCTTCAAGTTTTTGCTCAGGAGCCTACTACGTCTACATTAGGCTTCCTTGTGTTTTTTTGTTTGCAACTCCTTCTTTGGCATCCCAGCAGCATCTTGACCCACCAAAGTCCCAAAATGGCTGTGGCGAGAGATCGCTACCGTGGCCGCCATGCTCAGGAGAATCTGCGGGACTACCTCAGCCGACCACCGACCATTCTGGGTGCCAATGGATGTGGAAATGATGCCATGTCCGACATCTTAGTCCCCTTCCCTTTGGGGTGCTGGCAAGACTTCCCCTTCGGAGAGGAGGAGCCCGAGAGGATGAACGCGATTCGCGAAGTTGCTTTGCTCTGGAACTTTTCGGACCTGCACTCAGCAGAAGCGCACTGCAAATCGCGAGGTGAAGATCTTGCCAGGCATTGCAAATCCTTGTTCCGGGCGAAGAGAGTGCCCATAATCCACAACATGAAGACGCCGGCTCTGCTGAAGCTGGCCATTGATGTGCTGCTTCCACTCTCTTTGGGGAGCACCGAGCTAAGCTCGCAGGATGTGCCAGCGGCACTAGAGTCGAAAGCAAAGCTGCCGGGCAGTACTTTTCCACAATGACTAGCATTTGTCATGCACCGACACAGCGCATCACCGACAGGTGCTGTCAGCAGTTCCTCGACGGCCAGTGCAGGACCCCTTCAAAAGGCCACTGCACAGCGATCTCGCGACCGTCAGCGCTACCGAGATTCGCGGAGTCATGCAGCAGTGTCAGTCGCTAGCATTATCCAAGTTGGGTCCAGCTTGGAAGATACGGAGGCAGCGCGCCCAAGAGACGAGAGCGCGGCTCTCGAAGTGCTCGATCTCGACTGCATGTGCCCAGTGAACAAAAGCCGAGGACAGCGAGAACCGTTGCGAGGCAAGCGCCGCGTGCATCTTCTGCAAAGTGTGCTTTGTGGTGTTTCAGGCTCGTGGAAGGAAGAGCTGAAGCATAATGCCTTGGGCCCAGCCGAAGAAAGCTGCATGTTCTGTTTTTCTCCCACGAGTGTGCCGCTGTCAGCTCGTGATCCCAGTAGCAGGATGCACTGAACCGTCCCACGAAGCAAAAGCAAGACCGAAACATGGACACCAGTCGCCGGGCAACTGAGCTGTTCCACTCCTCTTTCGGCAGGTACTTCAGGCACCCACCCATATGCTGACTCAACTCAATGAGCACAGTGATGAGGTTTCGGACTCATATGCGGGACGTGTTGCATGTGTCGTTTTTCAAAACGCTCAATGGCGCAGCCGTGCTTTCATACCAAATGTTTGTAACCTCGCAGCTTTGCATCTGAGGTCCTTTTTGTCGTGTTCTCCCCCTGTGGAACTCGGTTGGCAAGCTGCTCTCGGGACTTGCAGACGGCACGCTGTCTGTCAATGGTTTCCATGTTCGGCTTCGGTGAGACCAGAAAGTGCGTATCTTCGCGGCTCAGATCGTCTTCAAAGTTCAGCCGGAGTGTGAGAGTCAGCAGGCTCAGACAACGGCAGGAAATCCGGCAGGGTTGAGGGTAGACTCTGGCTAGACCCCATGTCATCCTATGTCGCTGCTGTGTTTTTCATGCTCCGAGGTTCCAGTGAGCAGGAGGACTTTTGTCTCGACCCTTCCGCGAGTGAGCTCCCGACTCAGAGGTGGAACCATTCAAAAGCTTTAGCTGGACCCATGCACACGCATTCGGGTTAGTCTGGAGGAAAGCGGAAGCTGGCTCAAAGTGCACATGACAGCGCGAGGTCCTCCAGATACCCTCGCTTTGAGCGGGAAGCTGTTTTCACTCACCAGCCCGGGCCTTACTACTTGCACGTAGCTGTTTAGCTTCGAGTCCGTGTCAGGCCACTTCTCCCCAAAAGTCAGCCCCCACCAGACGTAGAAAGATCATCTCAGATCTCCAACCAGACTCCTTCCGACCCTCTGGTAGCCGCTTGATCAGGACAGCACCCTGTCGAGCTATGTGGTGGCCGATCCCACCCTATGACATGGTGGCAGTCAGCACCGAGGACAGCCACGGCACATTGCTAATCGTAGCAATGACAATACCAGTAACACTAATACCAATCGTAATAGTAAGAAGAAGAAAAGAATGGTAATAACAACAATGCTTCCATGCCTCATGTTCCTCCTCCGTCCCCAGACGATTGGAGGATGCAGGCGCCGGCTGGCAAGCCTCAAAGGTTGAGATTTGGCAGCGCGAGCCTCGGTGTCCATCCCTCTCGCGATCTCTTGGAGCGGAAGCTCAACGCCGAGGATTCAGGAAGATGGTGGCTCCATGGAGCACTCGGAATCAGAGGCAGCTGCCATTTTTTTATGCCATCCATATTATATGATATCATATTATGGCATAATATATTATAGTATAATATATGATGCACCGAGTTCTCGAACTCCAGGGGCCTTTCAACAGCTCTTTCGAAGAGCTCCCGGTCGGCTACCATGCGAGATGCATCTTTCAGCCCGGGCCTTGCTTGTTATCCCCAATCCGGAAGAGCATTCCGTCTTTTGTTAATGCGAACATGGCCACACAGCAGAGGCTGATCGTAGGCCAGGTCCAGGGGTTCTCTTTCTGGGTAGTAGTAGTATCGTTTTGTATGGCTCCTGGGGTGTTTCATGCGGACGGAGCAATTTTCAACCCAGGTGCCACAACAGGCCTTTCGACATCTACGCCGCCATTTTTCCTTGGCCGCCCCTTGCTGTCCCGATCGGCATGCTTTCAAGCAACTGTTTAAGAATACGCACTGCGCGGTTTGAATCCGATCACCTTACACCTTTGATGCATACATACTTGCTTATTGATCTCGGTTTGCATTTATACTCGTCTTGTCCTTCCTGGTGTCAAAACATTGCTTTTCATTTCTATCGTTTAAACGATTCGTCAAGGCTGAGTGTGAAGATCATTGGGTGTTCCCGCGTTTTGGAAAATGAGTGTTACAAGCACTGTTGCGTTTGCCATGTTTCCGTCCGTGACTTAGCAGACACCTCGGAAAACCCGACCGAAACCCCTACAAAAACCACGACTCTCAAACCATCAGGTTGCCACACGCCCTACATAGTTTGAATCATCCGTTGTTCCCATGCTTCCTACTCCTTGCATGCCATTTGCATTGCGTGTCCATCCTTGCATGTGGGTTTGATATTGATTTTGTGGTTTCCGAAAATAGGGGACCCTAATGTAGTACCCGAATAAGTAGGATCCTTATTATTTGGACCCCAAAATAAGGTACCCCTTATTTTCAGAAACTCCCATTTGTCCATTGTGTCACGTTCGGTTTCCTTCGCCGATCTCCTGGAGCAAAGTCCGGTACGAACTACAGCTTCGACTTGGCGGGACATAAGTCGGTTTAGGGTTTAGGGTTGGGTTTAGGGTTTAGGGTTTAGGGTGGGTTTGCGGTTGAGGGTTCTGGTTTGCAGCTGAGGCCCGCGAAGTCGGCGAGTGACCTGATAGAAAGACGAAAGGATGATAGATACATGGGGCAGGAGTGCCATGTATCTGCCGTGCGTCTATCTATCTGTCTATCTATCCATCTATCTATTTTTATTCTTTCGTTTATTTAAGGTATTGTATACTGTGAAATGTGTAGATACACACAGATGAATCTAGGATGTGTTTGAAACACATGCATATACAGACAGACAGACAGACAGACAGACAGACAGACAGACAGACAGACAGACAGACAGACAGACAGACAGACAGACAGACAGACATATGAATGTATATTATACTAATATATATATATATATACACGTATATATGTGTGTTTGTGTTTGTATGTGTCTTTGTATAGCGTATATATGCACACATACATATATGCTGTAACCGGCCATCAACGTTCTCCGTGTGTAAGCACTGCTTCGCGACACCGGCCAGGTCGAGCCAAGCATCGACAGCAGCCCCAAGGACCCGCCATGCCTCTGGAATTCTGTCAAAATGCAGACTCAGTCAGTTTTACTAACTATTCGTTCACGAAGTAAGGCACAGTCTGAACCCCATTTGCATTCTGAGATTTCGGTTTTTTGCACATGAGAGTAGGAGTGGCACTCGGAAAGAACAGTAGTAGTGGTGGTGCAGCAGCAGTAACGGCAGTGGCAGCAGCAGAAGCAGTAGCACTAGCCTTGGCCCTGCACTGGCACCATCACCATTGCCCGTCGAAAGCCTCGTTGTTGGGGCTTCCTGCGGACCCTGGAAAGCATCGTGATTTATCGCTGTTCATGGCTTCGTGTGTTCAGACCCCATGTGAAGTACCGCGTCTTGATATGTCTTGTGTGCCCTTCTTTTGTGGTTCGCAGAGGATAAGATCGGGACCGAAAGCAACGCTATCTGCGATCTGGGTCGGAGGGAACTTCCATCTTCCGTTCAACGTGGCATGGGTTTAGGGTTTAGGTATCTCGCTGCCATGGCGGCTAACATTCGCGAACAGAGCCCTGCAAATTTCTGGTGCCGCGAGGCCTTTCTGTTGTTTGTTGCGCACCTTTGTTGTTGTCCGTCGGTTGTTGCTGGTGGATTTTTACTATTTGTTGTGCGTTGTTTGTTGGCCGATGGTAGTCGTTTCTTGGGAAGTTGCTGGCGTGCCTGTGCGTTCTTGGTTCGGCATCAAACCATGTACTTTTCCGTCCATAATAAAGCAAGAAATCATGCAAACAACTGGGACAACCTTGCAAAATACGGTACGAAGGCGTTTTTGACACCTTCTCACAGCATCTAGGGAACATTGTGAGGAGTACATCACCGTCATCGTGGTAGCTGCCGGAATAATTGATAGCAGCAATACGCAGGGTCGTAGCAGGAAGAGGCAAGGACAAGTGGAGTGGTATGGGATGAGCAGAAGCGGTGTGAATGATAGCGCATACGACGTTTGAAAAGACACTTTGGTTTGCTTTCAGCCTTGACATGGGCAGGATGAGTACGAGCGGTTGTGCTTCCTTGCCGGCTGGGCAGTCTTAAGGGAAAACGAGCACTACGCGCGCAACTCAGCCTGACCAAGTTGGTGCAGATGTTCGTCCGATCCGCTAGAGGTAGGTTACACACTCTAAAGAAGCTAGAAGAAGGAGCCCCTGTTTTCGAAGCCATCGCTGTCTTGCAATGCCTCTTGGACATGACTGCGAGGTGCAATGGTTGAATGCGGTGCCCTCAGCCGGAACATAACGCTGCCAAAAGACAGAAAAGAAAGCTGCAGAGCAGCTTTGGAAGCCCACATTCTTAATGGATTACATGTCTCGAATGTATTGTATACGCTGACTCATTCAGACTGATTAATTGGACTCTCAGGAGGACAGGAAAACCAACTCATATTCTCAAGTCTACAACAATCAGATGCCTCTGCATTATTATGTACACACGTCTCGACTTATTTGTCCGCGTCTCTCTCTCTCTCTCTCTCTCGCTGTGCCTGTCTGTCAGTGTACATATGCCTCATAAGGTGCGATCTACATACCTCGCTACAGGACGTGTTGGTTTGTGTGTGCATGTGTATTCTGATTCTTACAAAATGCATATGCACACTGTATTCTTCACAGTAGTACAGTGCATCCGGTTCAGAGACAGTTGCCCTTGGAGTTGAGGTCTGGCCTGGGCCGAGACATCCCAGCTTTCAAGATGCACAGGCCTGTCGCTGCACGTTTGAGTCAGAAGCGTTTGACATGGTGCAAAAGAAGGGAAAAGCTGAAGGGGTCTTTTGCTTAGACAGAGCCATCGGCCAGGCACAGACAACGGGTGCTAGCGGCAGCACTCCGCGACCACTCGCCAGGCAGTCGAATGCTCTTCGCCATGTCATAGCTGCACCTCAGTACAATGAATACACCGTCGAGGCTTCGGCTTGAAGGCCAGATGAACTATCTTCACTGCCTGGAGGCCTGCTTTGCGCCCGAAGCGGCGTCTGCACAACGAGATCTTCACAGACGCATGAAACCCTCCAAGTACAAGCCACGACGACTCACCAAAACCAAAGGCGGGCTGTATGACGACAACCAGGTCGATGACGATGATGATGAACGAGGATGTAAGGCATGGATGTAAAGATGGACATGATGAGGCGGGAGAGACTGTGCATCATGGAGAGAGTGATGCTGATGATGGAGATGGAGATCATGATGATAACGAGGAAAAGCCGACGGAAGAGGCTGGAGGATGCGGTTGAAGAAGGAGAAGAAGCAGCACATATTATTGATGATGTTGATGCTGACAGCGAGGATGAAGATGATAATGCTCATGATGAGAATGATGATGAGGACAGGATTTTGGTTACAGTGATTAGGATGATGTTGATGATGTGTGTGTTGCAATGGTGCCGATTGCGATGGCATGGTGATGATGCACAAACACCATCATGCATCAGAACAAGGGGAATGAGTCAAACTCGCGTATTGATAAAGCTAGCAGGGGTGGCCTTAATTAGAGTAGGGTTTTGGGGTATGCTATACTATACCCTAAACCCTAATTCCTAAGCCCTAAACCCTATAGTTACAGCAGGGTCAGAAGCGAATGGCCGGCAGGTGGGACCGCCAGACAAAGTGGGTCGTCAACAGATTCTGGCCATGACGGGCAGCACACCTCATCTTTGCAACGAGATAGGCTTCAGCCTCAGGGAGTCGTGAGTTCCGGTAGCTTGAGAAAAAACTGACATGAGTCTAGCGAAGTAGGGACACTGAGACACCTTGGCAACAGCCAGAGATGCCCTGCCGAGGTTTGATGGACCTGAGCCGTCTGCAGCGACGAGGTGAAGGCGTCGAAGGCTCTGCTCAGCTCTGTTCTACCCGCACACAGAGTTTGAGGCCTGTCGTGCTTTGAGTGCCCTGCAGGTCTTGCGCCAGACGGGGAGGCCGGAGTCCAGAGTGGTTGAAGACGGCTCCAAGAGGGTCTCGTTCATGTCTGAGGCTGCCTCAGCTTTACCTGCGGTGTACGATGTTAAAGTGAAGGCAGGAGTGCAGGGGCCCACGAAATTCCGGCTCACTCTGGTTCTTGATAGGTCTACTCCATGGGGGAGCGCGTTGTGCTTAGTGCCAAATGGAACGAAGCCGGCGATTTTATTCTCTTGAACACAAGGCCGGGCACATGTTTCAATGCACGGTCAGCTCGATTCCTTCACCGCTGAACAGGCCTTATGCCCATGCTGTATCCGGAAGTCAAAAGACTGGAGGCCGGAATTGAAAAAGAAAGATACAATGTAGACATATGTATATGTACACCTAACTAACACACACACACACACACACACACACATGCGCACATGTGTGTGTATATATATATATATGTATGTATAAATAATGTTTATCTCACCTTACTAAAACCTTCATAGCACACCCGGTAGAGCCATGAGCTGCTGTGCCTTCCAAGGAGGACAAAGCGAGGCTTCGCAGGCCGGGCACTGCCGAACTCACACGTGCCACCGCTTAGGGATTAGCGGTTTGGGGTTTAGTGGTTGGGGGGTTCAGGTTTAGTGGTTGAGGGTTTAGGCGTTTAGGGTTTGGTGGTTGAGGGTCTAGAGTTTAGGGCCGTTTCTTGCGCCATGTTACACCTACGTCAAGACTTAGCTATGTCGTTCTAGGCTTACGTGTTTGTCTATGTTTGGCGTGTTTGTGTTATTTCGTTTATACTCTTATTCTGCCTATGTATCTGTTTATCTATCTATCTCCACAGCGCCCTCAAGATCTACGTTTGCAGTGCTTACAAATTTCAAGTTCCGGAATTGCAAGAACGAAGTTTCCAGATTTGCAAGGACCAAGTTTCCAGCTTGTAGATGTGTGGAGGCTTGGAAAGGATGTGAAGCGCGTTCATTTGGAAACGTGGGTTTTTGCAAATCTGGAAAGTAGGTGTTTACAATTTGTAGAACTGAGACTCTGGACATATTCAGGGTTTGTAAAGCCACACCCAACAAATCTTCATGGTTTGACCATGGTGATGTTCGACCAAGACAATACAAATACAACATGCTGTACGTCTACGCCATAGTAGTGCTCATCATCGGGATTCGAGTGCCAACTTTCCATATTCTAAAGCCGCCACATGGTGTATCTGAACTGGGCATCTTTACTGTTTATGTCTGCATGATTATGGAAATGACCCGGGCTACATTCGTTCATGCATGACTCAATGTAGCCCACATACAGCAGTCAATATCCTTATTCAGGGGATAGTTAGGCACCATGTAAGCCCTACTGCCTTAGGCACACTACCTCTAGATCCTCGCACGCTTTACCAACTTCTATCCAAATCCCCTGACCTTTAGTTTGTGGTTGTTTGACAGTGTGAAGCAGGAAGTACTGTAAGTTCAAATTATTGCGATGCCTTTGATTGGATTCTACCAGGCGGTTTTCGTGATCGTAACACACACGGAAGTAGTGGCCACGTGAGATTTCGTTGCCACCGTTTCTGGAAAAGTATCAGGATGTGTAGTGATGTTTGTAGAGTTCTTGGTTACACTTTTGTCAAGATTATGAGAGAGATTGGATAACCGACTACAATGCACGAGTTCCTGCCAGTGGGTTTACACCTGTCGGCTGCATTTGGGCAGAAGGTTTGCAGATATTTCAGAGGCGAGAAGTCTATCAAAAGAAATATTCACGCATGTGCTCTGCTGCGCATGCCAGCATCCGCATGTAAGCACAGCAAAATCGATGTTCGCAGATGCAAGAGTGCTGCATACAGACAAACTTATGTGCATACACATATATATATATAGATATATATATATATATATGTATATATTCATACATATATATATATATATATTCATATATATATATATATATAGATACATACATACATGTGCCGGCACAAGCAGACATGCAAGTAGTTGTGTCGCAGAGGACATCGCATCCCAGCTGGGACGACCACTTATGTGCAGGTCGTCACATTCATATGTATGTCATATATACATACACACATATAACCATTCATGAAAATCACTTGGTGTAGTTCTTGCTCATGTATGCGAGGTTAATTGTGCATAGCGTTGCTTAGCCATATGCATACACCTGTCACTGCCACTACTATGGGTACTGAGCCCATGCAGGCCAGTCTACAAGCCGGTGCATCCTTCGAGGACGAAGCAGAGATGCCAGCTGTAGCTGGACATGCTAATGCTCACGAGATGCTGAATTCATGGCTATGCAGGCACGTGTGTGTGTGTGTGTGTGTGTATGTATGTATGTATGTATGTAGGTAGGTAGGTAGGTAGGTAGGTAGGTAGGTATGTATGTATGTATGCTATGTTATGTTATGTTATGCTATACTATGCTATGTTATGTTATGTTATGTTATGTTATGTAATGTTATGTATGTATGTATGTATGCATATTTATATATACATACCTACATTCATTCAAACGGTGGAGTTGCGCGTTGATGCCTGCAGTGCTGATTGGTTGCAGTGCGTGTCTTGATTATTGGACCTATACCTGCAGTTACATGCAAGCAAACGCAGACATCTGCATGCTCCAAACTGCAGATACAGATACAGCATGCAAATCTGCCGGGCTAGCAGGATCTTCTCCTACGGCCAGCTCCAGATCTGTGCAGCACTGAGATCAGAAGTCCCAGGCAGCTGAAGGCGCGACGGATCTTCTCTGCCAGGTCCACCAAAATGGAGCTCTTGCTGCTGGATGCATTGGCCTTAAATGGGTCGCCTGCTACTTCACCAAGTCCCCATCGCAGCTCAGGCAAGAACGTTGGACGTCCTCTCCGTTTTCGATGGTCATTTCGCTTTCACCACGAAGGCGCGGTGGTTGAGCGATGGTCCTTCATGCTGTAGGTTTCTGTTCCCTTGAGCTGCACTTCTCCGCAGGAAAGTCCGTTCCTCATCTTCACAGAAGAGCAGGGGCCCCGATGACAACGTGGTGCTCAAGGGCTCAAGGCTTTACACAACACACTCCAGGTGGTCGGACTCGGACTTTCTGGCGAGCGGCGGTGAGGCGCGCCGTGCTATCCCTAATAGCCGGGCCCACGTCCAGCGACCGCCCCGGCTGCCCAGATGATCGCTGCAGAGAGGAAGCAATTGAGAAAAAGCGTAGGTGGATGGAAAATACGACGAAAATTAGGCAACTCCCGTTTCTTGAGACTTACTGATGAGGGATTAATCCCGCCGCCTCCTTGTAAGCAATCGCGATAAGAATCGAGAAGAAGCAACGAACGAGCTGATGGAAAAAGGATGCCATGCTGACGCCTGCAAGAAGACAAGAAACGGTCGTCAGACACCCATAGATTCTCCCAGATCTAGTTGTTAGAATGTGAGTTTGCCTTGCGCCGGGCCCGCAACAAACTGGAAGAGGAGCTTGGTCTCCGCAACCCGCAACCGCTTCCGCAGATTTTGTGTGACATGTGTGTGGGCATAGCAAGAAAGCCAGCCATGCACCAGCCAGGGAGTGCTAAATCGCACAACTCTGAGGAGAGAAGCTGTGCCTTGCAGGACCATCGCGTGTACATTTGGCATCGTCGTCACGGCCGCTTGATTCGGCGGTTGTGTGGCACGTGTCTCAGGGTGCCGACAGACACAGTCCTGGATTGGATGTAGCCGGAGTCTACTCCTTTCCTGATTTGATGTGCGCATGTTTTCATCTTGCAAACGCTCGCAGCTACTCGGCTCACAGAGGGTACTGCTTTCCTTCGCTTGCTGGTATTGCTGGAATCTCAGCCTTTCTTCCATACATGATGCGGAGCACTGGGGCCCTGCATAACTCTTGCCCGACTTCAGGAAAGTTGGGTGGCACTGAGACAAAATGCACCGGCCTGAGTTGCAAAACCGAGATTGAAGCTCTTGAGCTAATTAAGAGATGCAGGGGTCTGATTAGTCAGCACTATCATCCCTTTAGCCCCTTCATATAATCATAATGACAATAACGATGATAATGATGTTCACAAGGGTACTACTAATAATCATAGTAGCATTAAGAAGAACACTAGAATAATAGCCGCAATAGCCCCTTCAATAACTCTACTATGGTTTCCGCTGGCCCAGGTTGTGCTTTTGGGCCGTCCTTGCCCTGACTGCATGCTCTCTCTGGTCTGTGAAGGGGGGCAAGACTCCTGAGCGCCACATCCTGAGCGAGGAGCCATGCCTTAAGAGCTGCGCAGCAGGTGGTTTGGGGTTTTAGGGTTTTAGGGTTTAGGGTTTAGGGTTTAGGGTTTAGGAAGGATGCGAATGTTGGGCCTGGACTCTGCGCAATGTTCATGTCAGGAGCCCAAGATTGAGTTGAGGAAGGGCTTCCTGTCCAAATCGGAGACATCCGCCCTTCGTCGCCTCGCAGAGAGCGAGATGTACCAGGATGTCGGTGATGCAGAAAGTGGGAGTAAGTCCTCGGCGGATACTGCTGGAGGCGAAGAGCTCTCTGTGCTCAATATCTCTGATGACTCCGAGGATGGAAAAGAAGAATGGACAGTTCTGGAAGACGTTCTTCAGCATGCCACGACTCTGGCAAAATGGGAAGGGCTGCCCCCTCCCGTTTATGTGACTCGCTGGGAGCCTTGGAGACCTGAAGGGGCCCTAAACCGATCTGGGCCTCTGCACCTGGATGCACGCCTGCATCCGGAGAGGCGCCAGACGCTTCTGGCGTATCTCACTGGGACGGGAGATCTAAGGAAGGATGGTGGAACTGTCTTCCCTTGCCTGGAGACTGACGACATGGATGCAAAGGAAGTTACTCGAAGGCAGAAGCTTTGCTCCCGAGCTGCGCGGCATCTGGAGCACGCACATGAGAAGTTGATGACACTTCGCGCGAAGGGCCTGGAGTTACCTGAGTCCAAGCAGTACGAGTTCTTGGAGGAGCATCCAGAACTTGCAGGCCTTCCAGCAGAAACTGCAGAAGGCATCAGACCGATCAACTGGTTGTGGCTACCGGGATATGATGGTCTTGCTGCTGAGGCTCCAGGGAAGCTTCGTGCAGAGCCTCTGCATCTCTTGGCAGAGGCAATGTGCCGAGGAAAGGCCCCTGGTTTGAAAGTCTCATCGAAGGACGGGGATGTTTTGCTTATGGATGTGATGGAGCCCAGCGATTCAAAGAAGCGCAAGCTCCCGAAGGTGGATTGGCGCTTGTGGCATGCTGGGTGTAGTCCCATGGATGGCAACGGTTACAGGATTACGGCACAGATCTTTTTGCATGAGGTGCACTCTCTGAGGGCAGATGCTCAACATGAGGAGTGCGAGGGGTCACGCAATGCTCGTGCTTGCAATGTAGCTAGTCAATAGGACAATAGGATCCTACAGTTTCTTGGCACAGTGGAGGGGCACAACAGCTGGCGGGAGCTGAAAAGGGACTCCGGCTGACGTCGCATAGACACTGCAGCGGAAGCGGCCATGAGTTGATCCCCAGGTCATGCTGAGCCTGTCAATGCTGTGAGCTGGAACGGTCCGGAGCTGAGACAGGGCGAACAGCGGACAGCAGAAACCGATATCATCTTGACATCCTGCTTTACACTTAAAGAGCATGGGATGTGCGGTCATTACGGTTCAATTAAAGAGTTCATCGCAGGCAGGAAGACGTAGTGTCTTGAGAACAGAAGAAGACACCGCAAAATGGCTGCCGCTGTCTTTAACGCGGGCTCTTGCCTTCACGGTATGTGAAATATGCTGCGATCGATGAATCCATGCTTTTCGCGCATGCTTCCTGCTACTTAACCCGATTCGTTCGCTTAACTGTAAAGGCCCTCGATCAAGCAAGGTCGAGGCTTGCTGGCTTCAGCTTCCGATGACAACAGCATCATCATTTGGGCTGCCGCAGGCTTCGTTCCCAATCTGATAGTTTTCAGAAAATCAAGGAATCCCAGAGTATGTACTTCGATAGCATGATCCAGAACTGGGAAACTGCAGCACCTGGTCAGTGCAGGATACCTTGCTACGGAGAGAGGATGTGACATGCTTTGACAGACCATAGACGGACAGGCGCCAAAGAGCGTCCGCAACACATGGCTGCGTGGTCCTTACTGGGTGTTTCCACAACCTTAATGATATGAAGGGTCCTCCGATCCTCATGCCATGTAGTAGGGTCCAAATCCGGAAGCTCCTAAATCAACGGCCCAGGCGAGTTCGTGTCAGTCGTCCATTTCTGCTCTTTGCTCTAGCTGACTACAGCCCACGACGGGCGCGTGGTGTGGGCCTTGGCTTAGGGCCCCACGCAGCGCTCCTGGAAGTTCCGACAAAGTCACGAAGCCCAGATTCTACGAATCGCAAACCGCACAGCCCACCCCGGAGTTTAGCCGAGGGAGGCTTGGGCTTAGGCGTGGTTGGGCCAGGCTGAACCGGAACCTAAGGACTTTAGGAGGGACCCCTAATAGGGACCCTTGATCCCATTACCTTTTTTACCATTGTACAGTCCTTATACACCCCTTATATAGCCAGGTACTCTCCATATTTTACCCCAATAACCTACAAGGGTCCCTACTAAGGGTCCCTCCTAAAGTCCTTAGACGGAACGGATCGAAAGTCCACAGGGTTTGGGTTCAGGGAATATTTACCGAAGCCTACAACCCAAGCCTGATTCGACTTGAGCCCTCGACATGCAACGCGGATTTCTGCTGGGCCTTCCACACCCTTCTTTCCACCTTTCCAGACCCCCCAGTCGTCTTCCCAGACCCTCCAGTCGACGTCTCATGCAGGACTGGAAAAGGTTTCGAAAGCTCGTGCCGTTCAGGGTTTAGGGGTTTAGGATTTCGGGTTTAGGGCCGCTAACTCTGAGAGCTACGGTGTGACGTTGTCTCGTTGAGGCTGGAGCTGCTGTGAGCCTTGGAAAGTGTCCGGAGGCTCAGTTTATCATAATCATCACACTACGGAGTAGGATTATAATCATGAACATGGCGGTAATCGTGAAGGCACTGCTCCTGCACCGCAGCAGCACTGAAGCCCACGATGCGCAGTGCAGACTTGTCGAAAAAGCAAAGCGAGGCAGTGCGCGGCTGAAGCCTGAGTAGATGCGCCGGAATCTGGATGTGCAGCATCTTGGCATCCATGCGCCGACCAAAAAGTCCGAAGATGCAACTGGTGCCAGAGGGGATGACATGCTCGAGAAAGCTAACCATCTACTACTTGGAAAGATGTGCAGTTCTGCGGAAGGATAGCCCTTGGCTACATAGGAGGCGCTAGCCCTAGTGCGGCCCAGCACATAAGTCACATCAGAACCCTCTCTAGCTGCTGCTCTTGTGCATGTTGCTCCTCCGGCCCCTACGAAGCCGCGTGTGCCGGGGTATAAATCGAAGCGATATTATGCGATCTCGACCGCGTGGGTCCAAAGCCCTCGAGTCGCCACGGGTGAAGAACCAAGATCGCAAGGTTTGCAGGCACTGACACTGGAGGACTGGAGGACACGGCCGAGGCATCGGATCCCCAAAGCTTTAACGCCTGCCGTGTGCAAGGCCACACGAAGACGCCCTTTTCGCACAAAGCCAGCCCATCGCCGACGCTCAATTCGGAGTCGAGGTCGCGCCGAGCGGAGGAAACGGCGCGAGACTTGCTCTCCGAACCTGCGAATGTCCGGCTGTTCGGCATCGGAACAGGGGGATGAAGCCGGTGGAGTGCGGGCTTCATCGAGCACCAAGCCTAAGAGCAGGTGCTGAGGCTGCTCAGTGATGTCGCGGGAAGGGCGGGTGCAGCTGCACAGCCTCGATCCCGGCAGCCTGCTTCCATGTCCTGTTGCAAGTTGCGCCACCTCTGCTTATGCCTCCCGTTCATGCCGCTTGGAGGCAGCTGACCAAGATTCACGTGTTAAGCGTTGCGGATCCGGCCTTCGCGGCCCCTTCCGGCATGAGTGCAAAGGCTTAAAGGTGGAAACAGGGATGTGCGAGGAGCGGGCGCTACAGAACGACCGGAGCGATGGTGGCCGAGCCGCACTGGTCCTTAAGGCTGGTGAACACCCCCTGCAGCTCTCCACAAGCTCACGTGCTGCAGCCTTGGGAGAGCTCGCAGTATCCCGAGCAGGGGGGCCTTCGGAGTCGTGCCAACTGCAAGTGCTCCGAGAAGCGACGGCCTGCAGGGCCAGGGGAACCAGTGCGTCGGACAGCGGCGTCGGCGCAAGCCGCCCGGTGTGCACAGTACACCGCGGCTGGTGAACCGGTCGCAAGTCCATCCGTCTGGGGGGGAACACCAATGCCTGTTGAGTCGCGGATGGAAATCGGCACCCACTGCATGCTGGACGAAGCGCGGGGACTCCCCGCGGCCGGGAACCTCATTGGATGTTTTGTGTGGCCGCTGTCGGGAACCCCGAAACTCCCCACCACGGCGCCGCCAGACTGCAGGCGGAGCTCTGAAGAGCTTTGGGTGGGCAGCGTGATGGCGACGCTCGGAGACGGCGTTTGGTT